CATAGCTGTCTATCGCGGCCTATTCAGAAGTTTTTGCTTCAGTTTTTTAGACCCCGAGGAATGAACTTTCGGACACCCATAGGGCATTATAATGTAATAAGCTTGATACATTTGGAGATTTTCCTCCTTTTGTTTAATAAATCAGATGACTCTAGTTTGTTCAAAGAAGGTAGAGTTCATAATCAAATTGTAGAGTTATAGGAGAGGTTCTCGTATATTAGCATCAGATGTTGGAATAAACACTTGGCAGAGATCATGAACAATCACAGTCCTCAACCATAATTAAGCCCAAAATTTCTGTTGTAAGTGAGTTTTGCCCCATTTTACGGCTTTTCTTGCCACAGTTGTTAAATGAATCACTGCAGTAGTTAGAGTGCAGTACTGCAGGCCACTTTAGCTGACTGTGTTCAGCAGATCAGCGGTTCAAATCTCACCGGCTCAAGGTTGACTCAGCCTTCCATCCTTCCGGGGTAGGTAAAATGAGGACCCAGATTGTTGGGGGCAATGTAAATATATATATATACATTGCTTACTGGTATACACCGCTTAGAGAGTGCTTGCACTTAAAGCGGTATATAAGTCTCATAAATAAATAAATACAGTTAGTAGCCCCGTTGTTACATGAATCTGACTTCCCCATGGACTTTGCTGGTCCAGAAGGTGGCAGATGGGGATCACATGACCCCGGGACACAATGACCGTTATAAAAATGAACCGATTGCCAAGCATTTGATTTTTGGTCACACGATCATGGGGAAGCTGCAAAGGTCGTAAAGGTAAAAAATGATCATAAGTCACATTTTTGAGTGCCGTTGTAACTTTGAACGGTCACTAACCGAACTGTTGTAAGTTGAGGACTGCCCGTACTTAACTTACCTGAGATATTCAGCAATTTGATTTAGGATCTTGTGACCTCCGTATGTTAAGCATTCTTGGTTCTTTGAAGAAATTGAGATTGAATATACAATTCTCAGCACTGATTCAATAAAATGTCCAGCAGCTCCCAGGATTTTTGGATGGGAAACAATAATTGATATTAAATCCATGTCATCCTTTAAAGCAGTGTTTCTCCATCCTGGCTACTAGAAGATGTATAGACGTCAACTCCCGGAATTTCTTTGCCAGCCATGCTGGCTGAGGAATTCTGGGAGTTGAAGTCCAGAATTCCCTCACCAGCCACACTGGCTGGGGAATTGTGGGAGTTGAAGTTCACGCATCTTCATATGGAGAAACACCCTATTAACGTTCATTACTTTTACGTTTAATTTGTCTATTTCAATAAGATGCTCAGGTTGGCTTTTATTTTAATTTCATGTTGGTGTAGTCAGCTGCTCGGTGCTTCAGGACAGGCCTCTGACCACTTGTGATTTACTAGGCAAAACATTAGTTGTGATCTAAGTCTATAAGAGATTTTTAAAAATAAATCTGCCTGTCTCTTTTTAAACCAGCAGTTCTCAACCTATGGGTCGCGACCCCATTTGGGGTCAATCGACCATTTCACGGGGGTCGCCAAGCAAGGCTGTCAGCCATTTTTTCCCTTTTCTGGTGGGTGCCTTACCTCCCTTGGGCTGGGCCAGCTGGTGGCCCAGCCAGTGGTCGGCCTGCTCCGTCTCTGCCGCTTGCCAGTTACGCCTCGGCCAGCGCAGGGGGCGGCACCCCGCATGCGCGGCACTCCCGGGCAGGGAAAGTCCTCGACTTACGACCGGTTGGGTAGTCCTCGACTTACGACCGGTTTAGTCATCGACTTACGACCGGTTTAAGTCCTCGATTTACGACCGGGTGGGGGGTCGCGGCATTAAAAAGGTTGAGAACCACTGTTTTAAACAGTCTAAAACAGGCAACCAAATGGAAGGGCTTCTAAATCCCTACATGGGATGCCAGCTATCTTGGATGGAAGAGTGGTGTCTATAGGCTGGCTCTGTTTTATCTGATGAGCTTATTTCATTGGATATATAAGCTTAATTGCTTGGGGAAGCCGGAAATCTCATATTTGGTTAAGGTCTCCATTCGTCCTATAGTTTTCAGACTGGAGAAGGAAGTCAACTTGTCCAGCATTTTGGGTGGAGATGGTAGAAACAAGACTTGGTCTACCTTAATTTCCTTTTCAGCAGAAGCTACTTGGGTAGGTGCTATAGATTTCTGCCTCATGGTGAGACGCCATAGAATATCGTCTTCTTTGATCTGTGAAAGCTTGTTTGCACAATTGGAGCAAAGTCACAAGCTTTCAAACGGCAGTGTGCGTGATGCATAGCCTTTGACATAATCGCCGGTGGCCCATTTTTTCCTACAGTGACAGAGGCCTTGTGCTCACCTAATAAATAGCAAACACCCACACATAAATATACCGCATTTTAACAAAAATAATAGGTAACTGTTAAGAGAAGTCTGAGATTATAATTCAGATTCATCAGCCGCATTTCTATGAACTGTGTTTGTGTAGCTTTTTTCTTCTTCTTGGTGAGCTCAGCCTTTATTTGGGGGGATTTTTCACGACAGCGAGCCCAAGAAGTGATTCCGGCTGTATGCCCTTTTTGTGATTCTGGATACAGCAGAAAACATACACAGGCAGAAATCAAACCAACATACACCAGAAGTAAAGTTTATTGCCATACCAGAGTTGGAAAACATCTATTTTGCAGGATCCAATCTGGGTCGGTCTTTTGAATCCCGGAAGATTAAACCTCCAGTCCCGGTGACCGACCCAGATTGGATCCTGTAACATTATCCTGGGACATGTATATATTTGCCTTCATTCGTGAGCCAATTTCACTGTATACATATTATACTTTGATAATAAAGGACTTATTATTATTATATATTTTAAAATGGTGAGGCACAGATTAAGTCAAATTATCTTGATCCAGTGCCTGGAGGACTACAGAGGTTAACGCCAATTTGAGCTTTCAAGAAGTTGTTCAAAATCGGACTGCCGTTATTGAAAACCTATTCTCCCGTATACAGGTGGTCCTCAATCTGTGACGACATTTGAGCCCCAAATTTCTGTTAAGTGAGACATTTGTTAAGTGAGTTTTCCCCCATTTTATGCCTCTTCTTGCCACGGTGGTTAAGGGAATCTCTGCAGTTGTTAATATTAGTAGCACGGTTGTTAAGTGAATCTGGCTTCCCCATTGACTTTGCTTGTCAAAAGGTCGCAAAAAGGGGACCCCCCCATGATCCTGGGACATTGGCGCCGTCACAAATATGAATCACTTGCCAAATGTTTGAATTTTGATCACGTGATCATGGGGATGCTACAAAGGCTGTAACTCTGAAAAGTGGCCGTAAGTCGCTTTATTCGGTGGCTTTGCAACTTCGAGCGGTCGCTAAATGAACTGTCGTAAGTCGAGGACTACCCGCCGTTTGCTTTTGCATTCTTCCCAACATTTCCCCAACCTCCCAGCCTAGCCTAAATCTCATGAGACCGGTTTCCCATTCAGATCCAGCCATGCTCAGCTTTTTTGAGATCAACTGCTCTTAGCTAGGTATTTCTGTTTGTATGATATTTAGGGCTTTAGAAGTAACAACAGTTAATAGGAAAACCTTTTTAAATTGGGTCCAGAAACACTGGCAGCTGTTACTGATGTCCTGTGTATCCTTATCTATGCCAGAACTGGCTCAGGAATTCTGGGAGTTGGAAGTCCACAAGCCATAAAAGGGCCATCGTTCCCTACCTGTGATCTATGTAAATCTTTTAAAAGGGGGTCCTGTCATGCATCCTGGGGTTCCCATTATGTAATTGGCTGATCTCCAGGGAGCCAAGGAGATTCCTATAGATCAGTGTTTCTCAACCTTGACAATTTTAAGGCATGTGGACTTCAACTCCCAGAATTCCACAGCCAGCATTGCTGGCTGTGGAATTCTGGGAGTTGAAGTCCACATGCCTTAAAATTGTCAAGGTTGAGAAACACTGCTATAGATGCTTTTCCTGCAGTTTGTAGTGAACTTGCTTTGGGGAAATAGGCAGTGAAATTGCTGGTTCAGTTCAAGACGTAACATCATTGCTGGCTCCCAAACATCTGAACTATTTCCTCCTTTTATGCAGAGCTGGTAGCTTAAAAATACAATATTTATTGGGTTTTTTTTTTTTTTTAAAAAAAAAAAGGGCAAACAGATTTCTGGGGTTGATTTAATTCAAAACTAGACAACCCATGACTCATTGGATTATCGTTTCAGAGCTATTTCCTTACCAGATTCTTCCAGGCCTTCCAACAGTGGCAGAGCTTCTAATGTGCTTGCCAGGTTCTTCAAAATTCTTTTAAAAAGGAAGAACTTTCTAACGTACTCTCTTCCCCGGAAAATAAAACTGGGACAGATTCAGAAATGTAGCTGCCTAGAAAAGTAACCCTGGTTGAACTAGGGAACGCAGTCAACCCGTAGCGCAGGAAATAGTTTATGACGTTATTATGTCATAAAATGTTTTATAAAATTTGCCCGTTGTGAGGGTCACGGGGCCTCGATCTCGGACACATTCGGTAAGTTGGCCTATCTGAGGTACCCTGGTTGAAAAATGGTTGCCTTACAATGCACCATTTTGCCCAGTTAAGGGTTTACAAGACGTGAGAGTTTTAGTAGAATATAGACGTGCTGCACATTGAAAGCTGAGTCAGCACATGGAAGTAGAAATATATCCTGGAAAGTGTCATTAGGGTATGGTTCTCTCATATTTCTGTTCGTAGAAAAGCACCCCCTGCCTGTTTAATACTGGATGGAACGAGAATTTTTCTTCGTTGCAGATGACACTTAGTGGGGACATAGTCAAGATGCATAGACTCGTGTGTGGCATGGAGACTAGGACCAGGGTTCATCCGGTGAAGGTGACTGGAATGAGAACAGGCAAAAGAGAATAGCAATAGCAATAGCACTTAGACTAGGGGTAGGCAACCTTGGCTCTTTTATGACTCGTGGACTGCTGGCTCAGGAGTTCTGGGAGTTGAAGTCCATGAGTCATAAAAGAGCCAAGGTTGCCTACCCCTGACTTAGACTTATATACGGCTTCACAGGGCTTTACAACCGTCTCCAAGCAATTTACAGAGTCAGCCTATTGCCCCCAACAATCTGGGTCCTCGGAAGGATGGAAGGCTGAGTCAATGGCAAAGATAATACCGTGTTTCCTGGAAAGTAAGTCTGGGTCTTTTATTAAGTTTTGCTTATTTTCCGGTTAGGTCTTATTTTCAGGGAAATACAGTACTAAATGCGGCCGTCTGGCTGACAATCTTAACTGGGGCTTATTTTTAGGGTGGGGCTTATATTACGAGCATCCTGAAAAAAAACCCACGCTAGGGCTTATTTTCCGGTTGGGTTTTATTTTTGAGGAAACACTGTAGCATGTAGACTTATATACCGCTTCATAGTGCTTTTACAGCCCTGTCTAAGCAGTTTACAGTCACCAGCAGTCTAGGAGTCCTCTTTTTACCGACCTCGGAAGGATGGAAGGCTGAGTCAAACCTTTAGCCCAGTGGTTCTCAACCTGTGGGTCGGGACCCCATTTGGGGTCGAACGATCATTTCATGGGGGTCGCCAAACAACGCAGTCCGCCATTTTCCCCCCTTTTTCTTAGCTGTGCTACTCCCTTTTATTCTATTGGCTTTGGAAAGCCAATAGAATAGACTCTCTTGAATAGAGTCTAATTCTATTGGCTTTCAAAAGCCAATAGGAATTGTCCAGGCTGTCTCTACCCTGCTGAGCCCGCCAAAAGTCCCATTCTGCAAATGGTGCTGCACCAGTTGAGTAGTCCTCGACTTACGACTGGTTGGGGGTCGCGGCATTAAAAAGGTTGAGAACCACTGCTTTAGCCGGTCAGGATCGAACTCCTGGCAGCCGGCATAGGTAGCCTGCAATACCGCATTCTGACCACTGCGCCACCATGACTCATATACAGATAGTCCTCGACTTAACGACTACAGTCGAGCCCCCAATTTCTCTTTGTTAAGTGAGTTTTGCCCCATTTTGCAGCTTTCGCTGCCACCGTTCTCAGGTGAATCACTGCAGTTGTTAAATTATGAACCCTGTTGTTAAGTGACTCTGTTTCTCCCGTTGACTTTGCTTGTTAGAAGGTCGCAAAAGGTAAATCACCTGACCCCAGGACACCGCGACCCTCATTAAATAGGAGTCAGTTGCCAAGCATCTGGAATGTTGATCGCATGACCATGTGGATGCTGCAACGTTGAAGTAGTAGTAATAATAATAATAATAATAGTAGTAGTAGTAGTAGTAGTAAAGTTGGAAGGGACCTTGGAGGTCATCTAGTCCAACCCCCTACTCAGGCAGGAAACCCTACACCATTTCGGACAAATGGCTGTCCAGTCTCTTCTTAAAAACTTCCAGTGTTGGAGCATTCACCGCATCTGGAGGCAGGTTGTTCCACTGGTTAATTGTTCTCACTGTCAGGAAGTTTCTCCTTAGTTCTAGGCTGCTTCTCTCCTTGTCCTGCCTTCAGGTGCTTTGGAAAATAGCTTGATTCCCTCTTCTTTATGGCAGCCCCTGAGTGTGAAAATCGGTCATAAGTCCCTTTGTGTTCAGTGCCGTTGTAACTTCAAACGGTCACCAAGTGAACCGTTGTAAGTCGAGGGCTACGTGTATCTTCTTCACGCAGCGGATGATTTAAGCTGTAATTCCCGACCGCCAAATGTGGGGATGGCCGCTTCCTTGAATGTCCTCAAGACAGGGTGGGGTCTGTTTGTGGAAAGCAGGCCTCTCCAGTTTTGAAGTCACCGTGTTGAGCAACAGCTTGTCTTCCCACTCTAGTTGCAGGAGGAATGAGTAGAAAAGGCCTCAGTCTCCATCTCCTGCTTACTAGCACCCACAACCACCTGTGAGAAACGAAGCTGGACTAAAAGGAGCCCAGGGCTAATGAGGTGAGATGTCCTTAACCCATTCTTTCTTCTTTTCCAGCCTGTCCCGGACAACGTGTGCCTTCCTTCATGAGGCGGAGCCTACTTGATTGACACTCTTGGATAAAGGAAGGGTGCTGTTGGCAAAGGGACTTCTTCATCACCGCTTTCCTGAGCCAGGGGTTAAGAGTCTTCTCCTTCGGTCATGGCTGACCCCATCATGGACCTCTTTGACGATCCTAACCTCTTTGGCCTGGACTCATTGACCGATGAGAGCTTTAACCAGGGTGCTCCGGACCCCATTGAAGAGGCCCTGGGGCTTTCAGGGGCGAGCCTGGAGTCCTTAGCAGGGGGCTCCAAAGACCAGCAGGTTGCCCCTCAGCCGGAGCCCTCCCAACAAGAGACCCTGCCCCTGCCCAATACGCAACCGGAGTCCGTGACTGATCTGCCCCAGCAAGATCAAGCAGGCCTCCTGCAAGCCCCTCCGGATCAAGAGGTTCTCAGCCAGGGCAACCCGTTCATGGGAGTCTCGTCAGCCACAAACGCCTCAACGGTTGCGCCCTCTTCCTCAGCCGGGGGGCAGCAAACCGCCGGGCCCCCTCCAGCCCCCAAAATCGTCATCCTGAAGGCCCCAGTGGGAAGCTCCATGACCGGCGCTCATGTGGCCCAGATCCAAGCCCAGCCCATTGGGGCAGCCAACGGGGGCAAAGTGACCTTCGCCAAGGTCCTGACGGGCACCCCCTTGCGGCCCGGGGTCTCCATTGTCTCAGGCAACGCAGTGCTGGCCACCAAAGTGTCCCCTGGAGCCGGGGCCCCCGCTACACTCCACCGTCTGGTGCAGCCCGGACGTCCCGTCAAGCAGCTCGTCCTGCAGCCCGTGAAGAGCCAAGCAGGAGGGAACACGGGAGTTGCTCCGCTCAAGCCTGCCGTCACCCTGACCTCGACGCCAGCCCAGGTGAGCACGCAGTTCTTCCAGGTGAGGATACAGCAGCTTTTGGGGGTACGGCGCTTGGGGACTTAACCTGGGTCTTTCCCAAGGACTTCCGATTCAAGAAGGCTGGCGGTGGGTGTTTCCAGGGGAATTTGAAAAGGCAGACTAGGAGGAAACTACAGCGGAAACTCTGAGCAGAGCAAGTGGGTTGATGTTCTTCATTGAGGGACGCGTGGCGTGGCCAGCACAACATCACTTGCATCGGGGGGGGGCGCCTATGCAGGGCTGGGCAGGATCCGGGAGTCTCTGGCGGAGGGGGAACGGGACTGGGGCAGACTCCAGGGCCTGGTCCACCGGAGGAGCCTCGCCATCCCTCTTTGTGCCACACGGGGCCCTGAATGGTGGCACGGGCTGACTGGGACCCTGGATGGTGGAGGGCAGGCACCTGGTCTAGCCCTTGAGCTCCCGGAGCGCCATGATCCTGCAGCCCAGCCCAGCTTTGCTTCTCCGGGCTTCTGCCCTGTTCGTCTAGTGCAGGGATAGGCAACCCGGGCTCTTTTATGACTCGTGGACTTCAACTCCCAGAATTCCTGAGCCAGCCATGCTGAGGGGAAAGGGAGAGGTTTCCAAGCTGAGCCATGCTGGCTTAGGAATTCTGGGAGTTGAAGTCCAGGAGTCATAAAAAGAGCCAAGGTGGCCTACCCCTAGTCTAGTGGGTCGGATCACGTGCTTTCCACCCCTAGTGCCTCTGCCTCCGCCTGCCGCTTGGAGGGCCAACCCAGCGGCCTCAGCGCTCAGACCGGAGCGTGCCGGCCAAGAGGCAGCCAAGCAGCCGGTGGGCTGGGGCTGCTGTTGGGCACTGCCGGGACCCTCACGCTCGGGTGGGCCAGGGTGGCAGGGGCCAGTCCCTCACCATCTCCGGGGAAGCCCCACAGGCTGGATCTGGGCCCATCGTGGGCCCGGATCTGGCCCACGGGCCTTGAGCTTGACATGTCTGTGGGGGGAGGGAGGGGAGAGATTCCTAACACCTCCCTAGTTGGTTTTCCCTACATTCTGATGGCAACGTTGGTTGTCAGAGAAAGTACAAGTAGATCACGATTGAGCCCAATATTTCTTTTGCTAAGCAAGACGTTTTTAAAGAGAGTTTTGCCCCCATTTGACGACTTTTCTTGCTGCGGTTGTTAAGCGAATCAGTGCAGTTGTTAAGCTAGTAACATGATCATTAAGTGAATCTGGCTTCCCTCCCGTTGACTTTGCTTGTCACAAGGGGATCAGATGACCCCAGCATACTGCAACGGTCATACATAAGAGTCAGATGTCAAGCATCTGGATTTGGATCATGGGACCAGGGGGGGATGCCACAACAACCGTAAGTGTGAAAAACGGTCTTAGGACACATTTTCCCGTGCCGTCGTAACTTTGAACGGTCACTAAATCAACTGTTGTAAGTCGAGGATTACCTATAATTTGAGATTTACTAGTAATACAGAAACGGAGGCAGGTTTTTTTTTTTTTCAGTTGACAAGCGTCTGAATTTTGATCACGGGACCGTGGGGATGCTGCAATGGTCATAAATGTGAAAAACTGTGATAAGTCCCTTTTTTCAGGGCTGTAACTTTGAACTGTCACTAAGTGATCTATTGTAAGTCAAGGATCAGCTGTACTTTGTAGTGTGGTACCCCAATACTCATCATTAATGGCTTGGATGGCATCATTAATTGATTCCAGGAGGTGTGACGAATACCAAAAATGATGAGTACCAAATAATTTTTTCCCCCACAAGGAATAATATAGTGAGTCACGAGGCAGCTGACACCGACAGGTTCTAGCTAGTGCGTTGAGTACCAAACAAACGATGAGTACTGGGACAAAAGTTTAGCAACAAAACACGTCGATTACCAAATTCGACGAGTTTCAAAGTGGTTGAGTACCAAGGTACCACTATATTTAACTTTTTAAAATTGTTTTTAGTTTGTTAAAATATTTTCATTGTTTTAATTGTAGTATACCGTACCTTTTTTTAAAATTCTAAACTTCCCAGAGTCATTGATTGATATGAGTGGCTATAGAAAAGGAAGGAAGGAAGGAAGGAAGGAAGGAAGGAAGGAAGGAAGGAAGGAAGGAAGGAAGGAAGGAAGGAAGGAAGGACAGACTTAGCCCAGTAAGAATCTTTGTAGCAGCTTGAACCTGAGGTTTTCTTCATTCATCTAAAAGAAGCTATGCCAGTAGGTGCTGCTGAGAAATAAAATAATTTTAGAATTTGAAGAGCATGGTCTGAGGTTTGGATGGCATGGTTTTCTATGGTACAATAAAGTTAATGTTGCTAGAAATGTTAAAAATTACTGTGTTAGGAGTACCATATTGAGAGTACGGAATAAATGTGAACACAGAATGTTCCCAAAACATCTTTTTATGTGTCTTGTGCTGTTTATTTTTTACAGGCTAGAAATGGTAGGTACAAAAGTAGTTAACTTAGGTAGCATATAAGATAAACGTATAGGAATATAAAATGAAATCCAGAGTAATTGGTTGCAGAGCGATTTACTTTTCAGTGGATTTTGTATGCACAGCTAAGAGGAAAATTCAAGACTAGATAACAGGACATTTGGAGTTGAACAAGAGGCAGAATATGGAATTGCACTCTGTACAAATGATGAACGCGTGATGCCCAAAATGTATCAACTCTCCATGAAATATGAAATGGAGGAGAAACGGGCTAAGAATTTTGGACGTAACCTATTGCTGAAACGGTGGGAAAACATGTGGTTGAGAGGACTGAAATCCACATTATTACAACTTGAAATAGAATGTCTATAAATTATGTACTGTTGGTATATGACTCCAGAAAAATTAGCCAGAATGTAATAAGGGTACTTCAAATTTATGTTGGGAATACGTGCAACACAAAGGGTCATTTTATGATGCCTGGTGAACTGGCAAAAAAAAAAAAAATGGTTTCCAATGTATTGGAACACTGTTACAAAGAAATATTCAACTGAAACCAGACCTTTTCTTGTTGGGATTAATGGACAAACACCTAGAACAAAAATTATTTGTATATATATGATCACCGCTGCAAACAACAATATGCACAACAATGGAAGGATTCTAAAATACCCACCACATAAGAACAAGTTGGTGAAGATGATAAAACTCACAAAAAAAAAAAATGGTAAAAAATGATTGGTTTGCCAAGGGAAACATCAACATTGCATTTATTACTGGCTGGAAACTGCTTATACAGGTAGTCCTCGATATATAACCACAACTGAGCCCAAAATTTCCGTTGCTAAGTGAGAGATTTGTTAAGTAGGTTTAGCCCCATTTTACGACCTTTCCTGCCACAGTTGTTAAGTGAATCACTGCAGTTGTTAAGTTAGTAACCTGGTTGTGAAGTGAATCTGCCTTCCTCCATTGACTTTGCTGGTCAGAAGGTCACAACAGGGGATCACGCGACCCTGGGACACTGCGACTGTCATAAATACAAGTCAGTTTTGAACACGTGACCATGGGGATGCTGCAATGGTCCTAAAGTGTGAAGAAACGGTCATAAATCACTTTTTTCAGTGCTGTTGTAACTTCGAATGCACATTAAATGAACTATTATAAGTTGAGGACTTCCTGTAGACTTTTTGTTCAAAAAAAAAAATGAACGTGATTTATGGATGTGAAGATTAGAAAGGGTAATTTATGGAAGTAGAAAATTATGTAACCTGAGAGAGAGAGAGAGAGAGAGAGAGAGAGAGAGAGAGAGAGAGAGAGAGAGAGAGAGAAATATCAATGCATGTATAACCATTGTGAAAAAGAGAGGAAGGAAGGAAGGAAGGAAGGAAGGAAGGAAGGAAGGAAGGAAGGAATATTTTCTTATTCACTATTTCCCCTTATTTCCTTTGGTTCTTTTGTAATACTTGTATTGCTTTTCTTCTTCTTTAAAAAAAAATCAATAAAAATTATGTCCGTGTAAATTCTCAGTCATCCAAGGTCATAGTTTTATCCCAAAGGTGCTTTTTTCCACGAGGCAAGTGGACTTTCTTCTTTTTCTTTGAAGACATTTCACTTCTCATCCAAGAAGCTTCCTCAGCTTCAGAGCTGAAGAAGCTTCTTGGATGAGAAGCGAAACGTCTTCGAAGGAAAAACAAGAAAGTCCACTTGCCTCCTGAAAAAGCACCTTTGGGACAATAAAAATTACATTTGAAAAAAATAAAGAGCCAGTTCAGGCCATGGTTCTGAAGCAGTCTTTCTCAACCATAGCAACTTTTAAGACAGTGGTTCTCAACCTTTTTAATGCCGCGACCCCCCAACCGGTCGTAAGTCGAGGACTACCCAACCGGTCGTAAGTCGAGGACTTTCCCTGCCCGGGAGCACCATGCATGCGGGGTGCCACCCCCTGCGCCGGCCGAGGCGTAGCTGGCAAGCAGCAGAGACAGCGCAGGCCAACCACCGGCTGGGCCACCACCTGGCCCAGCCCAAGGGAGGTAAGGCACCTGCCGGGCCCCACGCGTGCCAGCAACCCTCCCTGCACCCGCCGGCCTCCCACCTCCCACCCCTGGCCCTCTTTTACTTACATTTTTAGTAGTTGCTCAGCAGGGAGGGGTGGAAGCTTCCAGACAGCTCGCCTTCACTGCAGACAACTTGCAGCACCGTTTGCAGAATGGGACTTTTGGCGGGCTCAGCAGGGCAGAGACAGCCTGGACAATTCCTATTGGCTTTTGAAAGCCAATAGAATTAGACTCTATTCAAGAGAGTCTATTCTATTGGCTTTCAAAAGCCAATAGAATAAAAGGGAGTAGCACAGCTAAGGAAAAGGGGGGGGGGGGAAATGGCGGACTGCGTTGTTGGGCGACCTCCGTGAAATGGTCGTTTGACCCCAAATGGGGTCCCGGCCCCCAGTTGAGAGCCACTGCTTTAAGATGTGTGAGCCAGCTCCCAAAATTTCCCAGCTGGGGAACTCTGGGAGTTGACGCCCGCCACATCTTAAAAGTTTCTAAGATTGTGAAACTTTGCTCTGGGGCAGGGGTAGGCCACCTTGGCTCTTTGATGACTCGTGGACTTCAACTCCCAGAATTCCTGAGCCAGCATGGCTCAGCTTGGAAACCTCTCCCTTTCCCCTCAGCGTGGCTGGCTCAGGAATTCTGGGAGTTGAAGTCCCCGAGTCATAAAAGAGCCAAGGTTGCCTACCCCTGTTCTGGGGCAATACCTGACTTGTTTGAATGCTTCCCAACATGTTTTTTTTTTAATTTAACTAAAGTTGTTGCATTTAAAATTCCAAACCACCCAGGAAGATAAAGCCTAGCATTTTCTGACATGTCCATGTTCAAGCAAGCACAGGGACTTATTTTGCAGATTCTATGCCTTTGCCACCACCTGCTTCCCCTTAAAAGTTCTGTGTGCGTCATTGTGGGAAAGACGAGACCCAAAAGTTTGTGTATGTAGCCTTGGGATGGAGGGTAAGGAGCTGAAGTTTACAGTTGCAGGACTTTTACTGGCTGGGCTGCTCAATCAAAGCATTCCGCTAAAGGATAGCTTTTACATTTGCTTTTTGTTGAAGCGAAGACGATAAGAAATCTGTTTGTGTTCTTGTGGCTTATGCAGTTAAGCTGGTGGTACCTTTTTTTTTTTTGAACGGGTGCCTGCATGTGTGTGTTCATGTGCATCTGCATACAGATAGTCCTCGACTTACAACAGTTCATTTAGTGACCGTTCAAAGTTACAATATAACTGAAAAAAAAGTTATTTCACAGCTATGACCATTGTGGCGTCCCCATGGGTCATGTAATCAAAATTTGAATGCTTGGCAACTGTTTCATATTTATGACGTTTGCAACCTTCCATGATCATGTGATCAGACCTTCCGACAAGTAAAGTCAATGGGGAAGCTGGATTCACTTAACCATGTTACTAAATTAAGCACTGCAGTGATTCACTTAACAACTACGGGAAGAAAAGTTGTAAAGCAGGGGCAAATTCATTTAACTGTTTCACTTAAATGCAGAAATTTTAGGCTCAATTGTGATTGTAAGTCGAGGACTGTGTGTGTATGTATATATATATCATGTATGTGTGTGTGCATATATATGTGTTTGTGTATATATATATATATATATATATATGTGTGTGTGTGTGTGTGTGTGTGTGTGTGTGAATGTGTATGTGTGTGTGTGTGTGTGTGTGTGTGTGTATAGGTCTTTGGTTATTCGGGTTTTCTCCCGCGTCAAATTGAAAGTGTCTTGGCGACATTTCGACGAAGTCTCATTCGTCATCTTCAGGCTGGTGTTTTCGGCTTCATGCTTCTAGGAGCAATGTTTAGCCCTTTGCTCTGATAATGTTAACAGGTTGTTAACGAAAGCTCAGCAATTAATTAAAAAAAGCCTTTTATCTTACATCCCAGAGCTCTTTATTTTTATCTGATTGACTTTAAATGTCCATACCTGGGATTCCAGTATTCAAAATTATTAAAGATATGTGTGTATGTGTGTGTGTATGTACACACACACACACACACACACACACATATGCATACACATATACACATACACAAACACACATATATGCATACACACACAATCTCCCTCTCTTTTCTACATATGGAATTTAAAGCAGTCAGAAGTATTTTTCAGTTCTAGCTTGAGAGCAATATTTACAGTATGAATGTGTATGTTTGTTTATTTATTTATTTGGCCATTTAGTTATTTATTTAGCCACCTCTCATAGAAGTGACTTGAGATGGCATTCAGGGCTTAAAACCAAACCAGCAACCCAGATAACAAATATTTAGAATTTCTTTTTCAAAAAAACAAACAAAAAAAAAAAACCGCATTTACCAACTTACAGCAGAAGACACTGATATAAAACTAATCAGCCAGTTAAAGTTGCCTAACTTCCTAGCCCAAACATGTGGAGGAATATCTTGGCTCTGCTTACATATTTGTTTTTGTGGGGGGGAGTTTCCTTCCTTTTATATCAGTGCTTCTCAACCTGTGGGTCGGGACCCCATTTGGGGTCGAACGACCATTTCACGGGGGTCACCAAACAACGCAGCCCGCCATTTTTTTTCCCCCTTTTCCTTAGCTGTGCTACTCCCTTTTATTCTATTGGCTTTGGAAAGCCAACAGAATAGACTCTCTTGAATAGAGTCTAATTCTATTGGCTTTCAAAAGCCAACAGGAATTGTCCAGGCTGTCTCTGCCCTGCTGAGCCCGCCAAAAGTCCCATTCTGCAAACGGTGCTGCATCAGTTGAGTAGTCCTCGACTTACGACCGGTTGAGTAGTCCTCAAATTACGACCGGTTGGGGAGTTGCATTATTAAAAAGGTTGAGAACCACTGTTTTATATGTTGCATAGAAAAAAAAAATATATGCCATGGCTATGTTCTTTGCTGCGGAGCCTGTGAGAACTGACCCTCCGTCCTGTTTCTTCCTCTCAGGGGGAATCCAAACGCATCACCTTGGTTCTCCAGCAACCCCCGACGGCTGGAAATGCTCCGGGACAGCGGCAAGTGGTTTTGGGTAGTTTACCGGGCAAGATTGTCCTTCAAGGCAATCAGCTGGCCGCCCTGAGCCAGGCCAAAGGAATGCCAGGACAGCCTGCCAAAGTGGTAACCATCCAGCTGCAGGTCCAGCAGCCGGGCCAGCAACAGCAACCCAGCGGCCAGCCGGGGACTCAGAAGATCCAGCTCTTGCAGCAAGCCCCGGTCAGCGCCTCCGGCCAGCAGGCCCCTTTAAGCGTGCCGGCAGTCCAGCAAGCACAGGTGGTCGGGGGCTCAGGTCAGAGGGTGACGGTCCCCGTCAAAGTGGTGCTGCAGCCACAGGTAAGGGGATACGTTTATTCTCCCGTCAGTTGGGAAGAAGGGTTAAGCTCCGTTCTCCAGAGTTTTGCCAATACAGTGAGGAAAAACGGGGCAGAGGTCACTTGTTTGTTTTATTTAGAAAATTTATATTGCCGCCTACTTGCACAGGGCGACTCAAGGCAAGCTTACACAGGTGTATTAACACCCTATAGAATGGAATGGAATGGAAGAATGGAATAGAATAGAATAGAATAGGGAATGGAGAAGAGAGAATGGGGATAGAATAGGAGAGGAGAGAGAATGGGGAGAGAAGAGAGGAGGGAATGAAAGAGAAGAGAGAGAAAAGAGAATGGGGATGGAATAGAATAGAATAGGGAATGGAAGAGAGGAAAGAGAATGGGGATAGAATAGAATAGAAAGGAATGGAAGAGAAGAGAAGAGAAAAGAGGAGAGAGAAGAAAGAATGGGGAGAGAAGAGGAGAGAAAAGAGAATGGGGATGGAATAGAATAGAATAGAGAATGGAAGAGGAGAGGAGAGAATGGGGAGAGAATAGAATAGAACAGGGGATGGAAGAGAAGAGAAGAGAGAACGGGGAGAGAAGAAGAGGGAATGGAAGAGGAGAGAGAAAAGAGAATGGGGATGGAATAGAATAGAACGGAAGAGAAGAGGAGAGGAGAGAGAGAATGGGGAGAGAAGAGAAGAGGAGAGAGAAAAGAGAATGGGGATGGAATAGAATAGAAGAGGAGAGGAGAGGAGAGATAATGGAGAGAGAAGAGAAGAGGGAATGGAAAAGAAGAGGAGAGAGAAAAGAGAATGGGGATGGAATAGAATAGAATAACTTTATTGTCACTTTGAATGTACACTACTCGGCAGACATAAAAAAGAAATTTCGTTGCATTCAGCTCTCAAAGGGTCACCACTTCCAATATACACTACATAAATATGACAAAAATAAATAAATACAGAATTATGCATATACCCACATATATTATATGACACTATAAATAAATAAAAAATAACAAGAAGAAAAATAATAATAAACCCCCCATCCAGAGACAACACACATTCAAACTAGCCATTTAATGGGCTCTAGCCCACTCTGGATTCCCCAGGCCTACTGGCAGAACCAATGCCTTCCAAAAACAGTATTAGCGTGGGAGCCAGTCTAATCTCTGGGAGGGATGGTGTTCCAGAGAGAAGGAGCCATCACAGAGAAGACCCTCCTTCTGGGTTCCACTAGATGTATCTCCTTAGGGGACGGGACCCGCAACGTTCCTTTCCTCCCCGCTCTAATGGGTCAGGTCGATACGACCGGCAAGAGATGGTCCCTCAGATAACCTGGTCCCAAGCCATGAAGGGCTTTAAATGTGGCAGTCAAAGTTGATTCTTTTACCCAGATACCTTGGTATTCTTTGAAAGCATAAAGCAAGTTGCTAGTCCAAGTAGCCAAAGCGGGGTTGGAAAAGACTGCCCATGCAAAGAGGGGGATGAATAAATTGTTTCAGGAATGGAGACATTGAGGTTCTTTATCACCCCTTGCAAAACAGCTAACGCTGAATAAATGGCACACCTGAGATGCAAAGGATCAGGGCCATACGTTAAGTTGCAGTGCAAAAGAATCATTGATCAAGCCTAGACACAGAACTTTACCAGTGTTTCTCGACCTGGACTTCAACTCCCAGCATGGCTGGGGAATTCTGGGAGTTGAAGTCCAGATATCTTAAAAGACACCAAGGTCGAGAAACACTGGTATAGTCAACTAAAATTCAGTACTAAGTGGGTGCCAGATAAGGTCCACAGAATTCGAGGAGAGTTAGACTTGGACCGTTTCTGGTAACGTAACGATTCCAAGCAGATGATGCATTTCGCTCCGCCCTCCATCTCTGCCTGCTCTTCTATAACATGATACAAAAAGCATTGTTGGAGAAATGAGATTAGTTTGGTTGACCTGAAGTCCTAAACATTGAAAGAGAGAGAGAGAGAGAGAGAGAGAGAGATAAAGAAAGATAAAGAAAGAGAAAGAAAGAAAGAAAGAAAGAAAGAAAGAAAGAAAGAAAGAAAGAAAGAAAAAAAGAAAAAGCTTACTGTATGTGTGGGAATACCGAATTTGTACCTGATTTTTGGAAATTCTGTTATGCTGAGGCATCCAGTCCACATCCTACTTCCCACAGTGGCAAAAAAAGGAAAAAAAAAGTGCCTTCCTCTTTGTTGCTCCTGCCTGCCATAACAGAAATGCATTTGTTTGTTTCTTTATCACCTTTATTATCATACCTGAAGGTGTCAAACGTATCCAGCACACCTTCCTCCTCCTATTTTCCCCACCACAACCCTGGGAGGTGGGTTGGGTTGAGAGAGGAAGAGGCTTTAGGTCAGTGATGGCAAACCTTTTAGAGACCGAGTGCCCCAAAAACTGGCCCCGCCCCTGCTCCGCCCCCACCCCGCCTGCCCGCAGGGCCACTCACTCACCAGGGCCCGCTGCAGATCGCCCAGCAGCGCCATGGCGGCCACACCCTCTCCGGCACCCCGCAGCATCAACTGTGCGGGATGGGCCGTGAGGGCAGAGCCTTGTCTACGCTGCCTGGCTGCCATGTCCTTGGCTGCGCTGCTCCACGTGGGCGACGCTCGGGGGCAACTCTCCTCCAGGGGGGCTGCTGGTAAGGAGGGAGTCACGGGGGAGGCAAGGCTGGGGCAACGGCACGTGTGCCCACAGAGAGGGCTCCAAGTGCCGCCTCTGGCACCCGTGCCATATGTTCGCCACCACTGCTTTAGGTCTTCAGTTGTGGAAGCCTCAGGCTGTTCCCCTCCCTCCCCCACACACACCTTCAAAATGGCTCCGTCCTTAGCCATTTTCTGTAGATCGGCCTCCTATCCGGTGAGAAGCCCGGAAGCTTCGCTGAGGATCTCTTGTCACTGTGTCACCCGTTGCAGGCCAGCTCGTCCCAGGGCAGCTCCTCGGGACTCTCGGTGGTGAAGGTCCTGAGCAGCAGCGAGGTGGCGGCCCTCCCGTCCTCCAGCGGCACCACCCGGGGCGGCTCGGATGAATCCCGCAAGCTGGAGCATCAGAAGAAGCAGGAGAAGGCCAACCGGATCGTAGCGGAGGCCATCGCCCGGGCCCGAGCCCGGGGCGAGCAGAACATCCCCCGGGTGCTAAACGAAGATGAACTGCCCAGCGTTCGCCCAGAGGAGACGGGCGAGCGCAAGCGGCGCCGGAAGGGCGGGGGCGAGCGCATCCCCAAAGAGGACCGGCCGCGCAAGGGCCGGGGCCAGGGCGGATCTGCCAAGAGCAAAGGCCGAGGGAAACCCAGGTAAACAGCAGCGGACCTGCCTTTTTTCTTCTCCTCCTCCTCCTCCTTTCTTCTTTCTCCTCCTCCTTTTTCCTTTTTCCTTCTTCCTCTTCTTCTTCCTCTTATTTTCTCTTCTTCCTTCTTCCTCTTTCTCCTCCTCCTTCCTCTTCTTCTCCCTCCTCCTTCCCCTTCTTTTTCTTCCTCCTCACCCTCCTTCCTTCCTCCTCCTTCCTCTTCTTCTTTCTTCCTCCTCTTTTCATCTTCTCATCCTCCTTCTTCTTTCTTCCTCCTCCTCTTTCTTCTTCTTCCTCCTCCTTCCTCTTTTCTTCTTCCTCTTCTTCTTTCTTCCTCCTCTCTTCTTCTTCTTCCTTCCTCCTTCCTTTTTTCTTCTTCTTTCTTCCTCCTCTTCTTTCTCCTCCTCCTCCTCCTCCTCCTCCTCCTCCTCCTCCTCCTCCTCCTCCTCCTCCTCCTCCTTGTCATTTCTTTCCACTTGTGACTCTCTCTTCTTCTTCCCAGCACGATCACGCCAGTTGTTGGGAAGAAACGGAAACGGAACGCTTCTTCAGACAATTCAGACGCCGAGCTAATGCCAGCCCAGTCTCCGCGTGAAGAGGAGGAGACCAGCATCCAGGTGAGTCCAGGGGGAGGGCGGGTAGCTGGGTTAAGGCCGTACAAAGAGTTCTGTTTTCACCAATTTCCAAGAGATGGCACAGTGGTTAAAGACACTGAGCTTGTCAGCTGGAAAGCTGACAGGCCAGGTTCAAGACCCGAGGGCCACACGACAGGGTGAGCTCCCGTCCTCGCCCCAGCTCCTGCCAGCCGAGCAGTTTGAAAGCATGCAAATGCAAATAGATAAATAGGTACCACTTCAGTGAGAAGGTTCCATGCATCTTTGGCGTATAGCCACGCTGTCCACGTGGCCACAGAATTGTCTTTGTACAAACGCTTGGCTCCCCCAGCTATAATAATAATAATAATAATAATAATGGTAATGGTAATAATAATAATAATAATAATAATAATAATAATAATAATAAAGTTGGAAGGGACCTTGGAGGTCATCTAGTCCAACCCCCTGTTCAGGCAGGAAACCCTACACCATTTCGGACAAATGGCTGTCCAGTCTCTTCTTAAAAACTTACAGTGTTGGAGCATTCACTGCTTCTGGAGGCAGGTTGTTCCACTGGTTAATTGTTCTAACTGTCAGGAAGTTTCTCCTTAGTTCTAGGTTGCTTCTCTCCTTGCTTAGTTTCCATCCTTTGCTTCTTGTCCTGCCTTCAGGCGCTTTGGAGAATAGCTTGACTCCCTCTTCTTTGGGGCAGCCCTGAGATATTGGAAGACTGCTATCATGTCCCCCCTCGTCCTTCTCTTCATTAAACTAGACATACCCAATTCCAGCAGCCTTTCCTATCCGAAGTAGGATATTCAGATCCAGTCATAGTTTTGTCAACCTTGTAAACTCTCAAGCTTTCACTCTCCACTATGTATCCAAGATGGACGGTGATTAATATTTATATGTTGTTTATATGTAAGGGCGTAGGTATATACCAGGGGTAGGCAACCTTGGCTCTTTTATGACTTGTGGACTTCACCTCCCAGAATTCCTGAGTCAGCATGGCTGGTTCAGGAATTCTGGGTATTGAAGTCCACAAGTCATAAAAGAGCCACAAATGCCTATCTCTGGTATATACATATGTATGTCTATAGCAGGGTGTCAAGCTCAATTTCATTGAGGGCCGCATCAGCATTGCGGTTGCCCTGGGGGGGGGGAACGGGTGGGTGTAGCCAGGATGGGTGCAGCTTACTGGGTGGGCATGGATGGAGTGGGTGGGCATGGCCAGCTCTACATCGTTCACATCAAGGGTGCCTGTGGGGGCCTGGGCAGGAGTGGGATAGATCTGAGGGTCTCTGGCAGAAGGGGATGGGACCAGGGCAAGCGCCAAGGCATGGTGCATTTCTTCATTCCTCACAAAGGGTGACACCTCCCCAGCAGGCACCCAGGAGGTGGGGCCAACACAGTAGGGGCTGGTTCCTCGCTATTTCTAGACGGCCTTGTTGAGCTAAGACTGAATGCGTTTCAGCATAGATGGCCACCACAAAATTATACATTGGCTCCCGGCCGGCTTGGGCCAGGGCCAAGGCAACGGGGGCCATTCCCTCACTGTTTCCACATGAAACTACTTCGCGGGCTGCATCCGCCCCCCCGGGCCTTGTGTTTGAGATGTCTAGTCTATAGCATGTCTATATGTGTGTTATGCATGTGTTCGCTTTTGAGAGCAGGCAACAGAATTTCATTTTTAATGTGTGCCAGTGTGCCCACAGTAAAAAATGACAATAAAGGTTATCTTATCTCTAAAAAAAATGGAGATGAGCACACACAGAGTCAGACGTGACCAGATGGCGAAAAACTTTACTTTTCCAAGAGGAAAAGCTCTTTTTGAGTCTTGCTTTTCCAAAAGTGCTCAGACGATGCTTCAAACAACGGAAGCCCTGGTTTCAATGCTTTGATCCAACTGTTTCTCCTCATCCATTCCCTAATCAGGAGGGTGGCGAGAGCCTCTCCCCTTGTTTTCAGAGCAGGCAAATCCCAAAATTTGTTTGCAACACCAAACCCCCCCCCCCCATTAAGGCAGACTGCTTTGCTGAGATATATATATGGAGCTGGGTGTGAATAATTTGGCCTAATCAAAACTTTAACAATTGTAGAGATTCGCTTAACAACTGTAGCAGGAAAGGTCGCAGGGTGGGGCAAAAGCTCACTTCGCAACTGCCTTGCTTAACAGGGAAGATTATGGGCCCAGTTGTGATCGTTAAGTCAAGAATGCTCTGCGGAGCCAAATATTTTTATTACTGGTAGGTCAAATTTAATTTTGCAAGCTTGAACGGTGGCTAGGATTCGTGGTTCTTCTGTGGAACACTTTGCAGGTAGAGTTGATCCGTCCAAACTGGGAACCTGAACTTTTGCTGACTTCTTCTAAGACAGTGGTTCTCAACCTGTGGGTCGGGACCCCATTTGGGGTCGAACGACCATTTCACGGGGGTCGCCAAACAACGCAGTCCGCCATTTTTCCCCCTTTTCCTTAGCTGTGCTCCTCCCTTTTATTCTATTGGCTTTTGAAAGCCAATAGAATAGACTCTCTTGAATAGAGTTTAATTCTATTGGCTTTCAAAAGCCAATAGGAATTGTCCAGGCTATCTCTGCCCTGCTGAGCCCGCCAAAAGTCCCATTCTGCAAACGGTGCTGCACCAGTTGAGTAGTCCTCGACTTACGACCGGTTGAGTAGTCCTCGACTTACGACCGGTTGGGGGTCGCGGCATTAAAAAGGTTGAGAACCACTGTTCTAAGACCTGGGGGAAAGTTTGACCTGGATTGTGACTTCACCAACCCTTAGCTGAGGGTATCCAGTGGTCTTGTCTAATGGTATCCCGCTCTACCATCTAAGAATGTAACTGGTACAGATGTGAATTTGAGGGGCCCTTGGTGCTCTCTAAGCTTGCTTGTTTTGTTGCAGATGTTTCATGACCCTAACTAGGTAACATCATCAGTGCTAGTAAGGAATGAGGTTTGCTGTCTGTTCATATTCTGGTGTCTTGCCTGTGTCTGTGTGGGTGGGGGCAATCTTAGGAGATTCTTCGATTAGGGCTGTTTACTAATGGCTCTTTGGCAAGTACTGCTTACTTGATTGTTGGTCTGAAGTTGACCTTGGAGTTAATCTATGCCAGTCTGAGTGCTGATTACTGACGGAGAGGTGGCTGGAGTCTTTATTCTCTTTTGGGCTGGTTAATTGACTTTTGCATAGTCTATAGATCAGTGGTGACGAACCTATGGCACGGGTGCCAAAGGCTGCACTTGGAGCCCTTTCTGTGGGCACACGTGCCGTTGCCCCCAGCCTTGCCTCCCCCCGTGACCCCCTCCTCTCCAGAAGCCCCCCTGAAGGAGAATCGCCCCTGAGCGTGGCCCACGCGGAGCAGCGCAGCCAAGGACATGGCAGCCAGGCAGCGTAGACAAGACTCTGCCCTCACATCCCATCAAGCACAGTTGATGCTGCAGGGCGCAGGCAGAGGGCGTGACCACCATAGCGCTGCTGGGCTGCCTGGGTGATCTGCGGCAGGCCCTGGAGGCGGTGAGTGGCCCTGCGGGCAGGTGGCGCAGGGGATGGGGGGGCGGAGCGGGGGCGGGGCAGGGGGGGTGGGGCAGGTGCTCACCATCACTGCTATAGATGTTGTTAATGTCTATGTGTGTCTATTGATGGCTGATTTGTCAGAGTAGCCAGGCTTCTAGAAATTCCCTGCCATTTTTGGATTTGGCCTGTTCTAGGATTGTCACATTTTTCCCAATTGAAACTATGGTTAAATCTGTCTGTGTGTTGTGAAATTAAAGAATTTTCGTCATGCGTTTGGACTGCCAGTTGGTGTTCATGGATGCGTTCTGCCAAGTCTTCTGCCTGTTTGTCCTACATAGTGGTGGTTGCAGTTCTTACTATGTACAGTAGTGGCCAAAATTGTGGAAACCTTTTGGGGAAAGTGTATTTTTGAGGTTTGATGGCTAATAACACCACTTTTTTTTTTTTTTTGGAGTAGTACCATAAAATTATAGATCAATGGAAAGATAATTCAATCAAGAATGTAATGCAACAAAGTTTGCTCAAATATCTGTACTGTATATTCTGTGAAAAGTTATAGCCAAATAACCAGAAAAAGGAAGCACAACTTGCTCAGGTTGATATCAGGTAGCTTTCCTTCATCTGATTGTAGCCAATGAGCGTGAGTGTTTAGAGAGCCAATCAGGTGTCATCTTGTTTTGGCAATGAACCAATCAGATCACAGTAGGATTCAGTTATTGATGTCATGGATTGAAGCTGAGAGGAGGACATTTGTCAGTGTGTTATGTGATCGCTATCAAGTTGGTTGGGGTTTTTTATGTTCCTTCATTTAGTGAGCTTGTAAAACATAATAAAATTAAAGTAATGGTGCAAAGAGTTGACTGGTTGCCCAGAAAGCGATGTAAAATAGTATTATTAAATGAATAAGGCTACAGTTATAAAGAAGTGAGAAGAAAAATGGGTGGAAACTTAACCAAGGGTGGCCATTTCTACTGTACGTTTTTCCCAAAAGGTTTCCACAGTTTTGGCCACTATTGTATGTTGTAGATGACTCCTGTTTTTTTTTTTTTTTCCTTCTTCTTCTGGGGTTGGTCTGCTTGGGATGTTTTGAAGGGCTTTGGTTGGTTTGTGTGCTACATTAATTCCATGTGTGAGAAAACAAGCAAGCTCGGAGAGCACCAAGGATCCCTCATTTCAGCCTTGAGCTACAAATATTCTCCTTCGTTAGATGTGAATATTTTTTCCTCTTTGATGGCATGTTATTTTCCTCAAACCTACCTCCCCTTCTCCCTGCCTATAGAAACGGCGTTCGAACCGTCAGGTGAAGCGGAAGAAATATACAGAAGATCTGGACATCAAGATCACGGATGACGAAGAAGATGAGGAGCTGGATGTGATGGGGCCCATCAAGACCGAACAGCCCCCAGCTCCGGAACCCCCTGCTCCAGAACCCATCCCTGAGGGCGAGACATTGCCTTCAATGCAGTTCTTCGTGGTAAGGGGCTTCCTTAGTCTGGAACATCATCTCCCCATAACCTTTCCCCCCCCCCATTGATTTGCTAAGGCCTAGGCCTGTTGCGGGCGGCAGAAGCGAGCAAGAAATTAAAAAAGGACGTCATTGGCAAAGCAGTTTTCTAGGCAACAGTTTGGAAGACGTTCGGCACGGTCTTCTTCTGGGATGTCGGTGTCACTTGACTTACCGTGTTTCCCCGAAAATAAGACCGGGTATTTATTTATTTATTTATTTATTTATTTATCCATCCATCCATCCATCCATCCATCCATCCATCCATCCATCCTCCAAAAGAGGCACCAGATCTTATTTTCGGGGTAGACCTTACCTCACCTCCGGCACCGACAGCACCACCCAGTTGGTCCACTTCTTCTGAGGCCAAAGTTCTGCAGCTGCATTCGGGCCTGCATTTTGCAGTCAGGCCTTTCCAGAAGCAGCTGAGTGCCGAGCTATGGATTGAATCCATAGCTCGATGCTTGGCTGCTGAGGACTTGCAGAACCGAGCCATGGATCAAGGCCTTCCGGAAAGCCCCGTGACTTAGAAATGCAGGCCTGGCTGCAGAAGTGGCCTCAGAAGAAGTGGGCTGGTGAGGAGAGACCTGGCTGTAAGGTAAGAGGGTGCGGGGTGGGTGGGGCAGCTCCACACCCTCGCCCTAGCTTGATTTTTAGGTATGTGCCTCACCCCAAAACTAGGGCTTATTTTTGGGATAGGGCAGGGGTAGGCAACCTTGGCTCTTTTATGACTCGTGGACTTCAACTCCCAGAATTCCTGAGCCAGCATGGCTCAGCTTGGAAACCTCTCCCTTTCCCCTCAGTGTGGCTGGCTCAGGAATTCTGGGAGTTGAAGTCCACTGGTCATAAAAGAACCAAGGGTGCTTATCCCTGGCCTAGGATATGTCAACTATTCTGCACAGCATTTGCAAAATCTGGAATGCCTCCTTCCCCAGTTTGCTCTGCGGTGAAGTCAGGAATATTGTTTGCCTCTATAGGTAGTCCTCAACTTACGACTGTAACTTTTAAACTTTCTTTAAGCTGCCTCTTCTTTCTTCCCCCACCCTTTCTGCCCGAAGGAAAACCCGAGCGAGGAGGATGCTGCCATTGTAGACAAGGTCCTGTCCATGCGGGTGGTGAAGAAGGAGGTGAGAACTTTGATCTACTGCCACGGCTGAATGACTTGTGGCTTTCCAGCTGCCTCTGCCCTGCTTTATTGTAAGGATTTGCTTTTCTAGATGGGGGGGGGGGAGGAGAGGGAAGGGTCCAAAGCCACACAAGAGTCCCTTTGCCCTGTTTTGCCCTTGCCTTTCATAGCAGGCCTTCGAGATGCAGGCTCAGAATTCTCCCCTCAGCGTACTAGGATTATTAGGATAGAATGTTGTAAGACAGATGGGTAGATGGTTAGGCTAGAGGAATTGGATGGATGGACAGAAGGAGAGGGAGATGGGTAGACAGATAAAGGGACAGATCTCCAGCTTTGCACAAATTAATTTGTTTGCCCTAGTGGCAAATATCTGTAGCTTGGCTGTAGGATGAGGGTGAACGTTCGTTCTCTGAGCTTGTGGGTCTGTTTCCAAACATTTCGTTACCAGGCTAGGTAACATCTTTGGTAGAGTTTAGGGCAGTGGTTCTCAACCTGTGGGTCAGGACCCCATTTGGGGTCGAACGACCATTTCACGGGGGTCGCCAAACAACAGTCCACCATTTTTTCCCCTTTTCCTTAGCTGTGCTACTCCCTTTTATTCTATTGGCTTTTGAAAGCCAATAGAATAGACTCTCTTGAATAGAGTCTAATTCTATTGGCTTTCAAAAGCCAATAGGAATTGTCCAGGCTGTCTCTGCCCTGCTGAGCCCGCCAAAAGTCCCATTCTGCAAACGGTGCTGCACCAGTTGAGTTGTCCTCGACTTACAACCGGTTGAGTAGTCCTCAACGTACGACCGGTTGGGGGTCGCGGCATTAAAAAGGTTGAGAACCACTGGTTTAGGGGATGTCGATGTCAGTGTTCTTCTTTTTATAAGGGCTTCGGGTGTGGGTGTGCCAGGTGAGCGTCTTGTGATGGGCCAGGTGTGAGTCATCAGTGAGAGGCTTGTGATGGGGAGGTTACATCAGGTCAGGGCCACTGGGAGTTGAACAGTTGGTGGGGGGCTTGCGTGGGGTCAGTGCTGTCTCTAGTTGGCTGTGTGATTGATTTGGATTCTGGGGGGTTCGTACGCTGGTTGTAGGCCAATGTGTCTGTTGATGGAATTGCTTGGGAAGTGCCATGTTTCAATGAACTCATGAGCGTGGCCGATGATTTTAGTGTTGCTCCAATTGAACTGGTGTTGTTTGGTGTTGGTGTGAGTAGCATCAGAAGGCAGGATAAGAAGCAATGGATAAAAGCTTATCAAGTAGAGAAGCAACTTAGAACTAAGGAGAAATTTCTTGTTAGAACAATTAATCAGTGGAACAACTTGCCTCCAGACATTGTGGGTGCTCCAACACTGGAAGTGTTTAAGAAGAGCTTGGACAGCCATCCAATGTCTGAAATGGTATAGGGTCTCCTGCTTGAGCAGAGGGTTGAACTAGAACAAGACTTTTCAACCAGTGGTACAGGTACCATCTGTGGTACATTGGCACCTGGCAGGTGGTACGCGACTATCCTATGTTGCCATATCCTAAAAGTGGTACAATGGGTGAAAAGGTTGAAAAGCCCTGGACTATGACCTCCAAGGTCCCTTCCAGCTCTGCTATTCTGCTATCCTCCTTAGCTGGAACAACTGCCCTATGCCTTCAGTTCTCTGATTTTGTTTGTTTCTTTCTTCCATCGGCAGCTACCCAATGGGCAGTTCACAGAAGCAGAAGAATTCTTTGTGAAGTACAAAAACTAGTAAGTATACCACCCCCTCCACTTTCAAACATTCCCACCGCTGGGCCGTTTAACAGAAGGTGTGAAAGGTGTGTTTGTACCCTTGTTTCCCATCCCATCAAAGTAAGTGCCCAAAACGCTAACGGAATGCTTGGATTGACCCAGTTTTGGGAAAGAATGAAGTTCTGGAGCCAGATCACTCTCATGGTTGAACTGTGGGATCCTTGGTATTCTCTTGAAAGCTTGGCTATTTTCTTGCAGTCATTTCATTACCCAGCTAGGTAATATCAGTGTTGATGTTACAGAGTACCTGTATAAGTGAGGGTGGTTACGTAGTTGGGTAATGAAGCATTTGCAAGAAAATCACCCAAGAGCATCAAGGATTCCACCTCTTTCCATTGATCCAATACTTTTCTTCTCGATGCTGATCATTTACAATACCCTTCTCTCTTTTCTCCCCACCTTTCTCTTCCAATTCTTCCCCAAGCTCTTACTTGCACTGTGAATGGGCCACCATTGCTCAGCTGGAGAAGGATAAGAGGATCCACCAGAAGCTCAAACGGTTTAAGACCAAAATGGCTCAGATGAGACACTTCTTTCATGAGGTACCCGCGACGATAGAAACCTAAGCAGACTGGAGGCTTGTTTAATTCCAGTTGCTAATAACTCCTGCAGAAGTCAAACACTGCCTTACACTGCTATCCTGCCTCTTTAGGATGAGGAGCCTTTCAACCCAGACTACGTGGAGGTTGACCGCATCCTGGATGAATCGCACAGCATTGACAAGGACAATGGGGAGGTGTGTTGGTACTTTTCAGATTAACTTGACGGGGTAGAACCTGCAAATAGCCATAGCACGTAGACTTATGTACCGCTTCATAGTGCTTGACAGCCCTCCCTAAGCAGTTTACAGAGTCAGCCTATTGCCCCCAACAATCTGGGTCCTCCTTTTACTGATCTTGGAAGGATGGAAGGCCGAGTCAAGCTTGAGCCGATCAGGATCAAACGTCTGGCAGTGGGCAGAGTTAGCCTACAATATACTGCATTCCAGCCACTGCGCCACTACAGCTCTTAAATAAGAATACTTAAATACCGGCTACCTAATGAGAAAGCAGTAGCTACCGAAGAACTTCAGAAGAACCAGGCTGGATCTGGATGGTGGTTTTTCTGCTCTGGCATTCAGAGTCCCACAGAGGCCAGCTGAACACATTTGGAAAGTTTATAAACTTTAAAACCAGAGGCCCAAAAGGTCCCCTTCCATTGTCCATTTCTGGCAGTGCATAATGCAGGCCTGCTCCCTAAGACTCGAGAGGTAAGAAACAGCCGGCTTATATTGGTAGCCATTGATAGCTCTCTGCCAAAATCCAAGCACGATTTGTGACCCCTGAGCAGAGAGTCAACTTGTGTGCAGTTCCTCGGAGTTTTCCCACCCCCTCTGAGGTGCCCTGTGCTTCTTTCCTTAACCCTGCTGCCTCTCTGCTCGGGAACTTAAAATCTTCTCTGCTGAAATCCAAATGGGATTTTCCAATCCTGAATAAAAACCTGTGCAGGGTCTCTCTCACCTGCCTGAGACACCTCACACTGCTGTTGTGATTCCGTGCCAGCCTGTGATCCCGGTAGTTGAGTCTGGGGAAAGAGGAGGAGGAGGAGCCTGGAGAGCCATCAGAGTCGGAGGGAGGCTCTGATGAGCTGCAGGACTTAACAGACTGAATAAGGAGGCTGGTCCTTTCACTCATGATCGAGCTGAGAGCCAGCTGTGCTGGGAAGCTGAGTCAAACTCGGAGGAAGCATAGCTGGAAGACCTCAGAGACGCTCGTAGATGTAGGTGGTTCACACGAGTAGGACAGAGGGAGGCAACGGGGCGACTCCAGGGCAAGAGAAGAAAGCAGTGAGAAGCCACGCCTTGGGGGCTGTGTAACAAAAAGGGAATGTGTGGGCAGGGCTGGTTGCTGGAGGCAACCGTTGGCAAAGAATTTCAGAGTCAAGAGATCATGGTCTGTTTATTTTGTCTGTGAGTTATTTCCTGTTTGACTCCTGTGTTCTTTGCTTTTGTTTTTCTGGGACAATTATCAGGTCTGTAACTCAAATAAAAAGGGTTTATTTTCCAGTCTACTGTTAAAAGAGGGGTTGTCTTTGTGCAGTAACAAGGACGTACGTAGGTTGGGACAGAACAACTGCTTACCTTACTCCACTAACTCTCTGCTCTCTGGATTTTGGCTTCCTCTCATCTCTGGGGGCTGGCGGGGTGCAATAATTAAGCTGAAATCTTCAGAATTTTGGCTGTTTCTGCACTCTGCCAAAGGCTCCCTTCAGGAATCAGCCAGTTGGCAGAAACAAAAGGGAGTCCTTTTTGCAGGCAGCGGCAGCTTGCCATTTTTTCTGCCGGCTTCCCCAATGACCTGGGGAAGCCAGCAGAGAAGATTGCAAATGGTGATTGTATGATCGTAGGGCGCTTGGTAAACTGGTCATAAATGTGAACAGTTGCCCAGCACACAGATCGTAATCATAAGGCCCCAGGGGTGGTAGTGCAACATTTTGGCATCAGCCAGAAATGCTTTACGGGTGCTAACACACTCTTTCCGAGACTGTCATAATTCCAGACCATCATCAAATGAGTGGTTGTAAACTGGGGACTACTTATATTGGATTATGTCCCCAAACATCCCTTACCCCCAAGATTCAAACACACTTGCCTAGTACAATAAAGATGGTGTTCCAGAACCTAAACAGAGCACCCTTTTGCTACATTCCTGGTTTTGCTAAAGTGACGTCTTTTCTGCCCTTGATAACGTCCATGTTTTCATTATATTTAATTTGCTTTGATCTGTGAGATGTTTATGGTAGTTTGAGAGAAAAGCCATTTGAACAAATGAATAAACAAGACTAAAGCTGTACTTGCATCTCTGTCTGTCTGTCTGTCTGTCTGTCTCTCTTTCTCTGTCTCCCTCCCTCCCCCCCACTCTCTCTCTTTCTTTCTTTCTCCCCCCTGCAAAAATTGTGTAGCCCGTGATCTATTACCTGGTAAAGTGGTGTTCGCTCCCTTATGAAGACAGCACATGGGAGCTGAAAGAAGATGTGGACGAAGGGAAGGTCCAAGAGTTCAAACGCATCCAGTCCAGGCACCCTGAGCTCAAACGGGTGGTGAGTAGCAACTTATTCTCCAGGTTCACAAGTCTTGGCCTTATCTGCTGTGCTGACTTGACCTTCCAGTTTTGTCCAGTAGAATTCTGGACGTGGTTATGTCTGTGTTTGGGTACTTACTCCTTTTTACATGCGGCAGAGAGATTTCTAACTCTCCTTGGTACTGGATAAACAACAACAACACTTAACAGATCCCTGGTACCGTCTCAATATTGCAGAACAGGGAGGAAAGAAAAACCAAAGTCCATTGCAGATTTAATAATTGGTAGTTTTTATTAGTAGTAGTGGTATTCCCTCCAGGCTTTTCTTTAATTAGTGAATTAAATTCTAGTCTTATCTTAGCCATGAAAGCTGGCTGGGTGAGTTCTAGTCCCGCCCTAGGCATGAAAACTGGCTGAGTGATTTTGGGCCAATCACTAGGAGACTGAGTTCTAGTCCCGCCCTAGTCATGAAAGCTGGCTGAGTGATCTTGGGCTAATCACCATGGGTCTGTGAGTTCTAGTCCTGCCTTAAGCATGAAAGCCAGCTAGGTGACTTTGGAGCTGTCACTCTCGGAGCCCAACTCATCTCTCAGGGTGGTTGTGGGGAAAATAAAAGGAGCAAGGCACGTTGGATATGTTTGCCATCTTGGTTTATTTGTAAAAATAATAAAGGTGGGAAAGAAGAAGGAAGAGAGAGAGAGAGAGAGAGAGAGAGAAAGAACGAAAGAAAGAAAGAAAGAAAGAAAGAAAGAAAGAAAGAAAGAAAGAAAGAAAGAAAGAAAAGGAGGAAAGGAAAGAAGGAAGGAAGGAAAAAGAAAGAAAAAGGAAATGAAGGAAGGAAAGAGAAAGAAAGAAGGAAAGAAAGAAAGAAAGAAAGAAAGAAAGAAAGAAAGAAAGAAAGAAAGAAAGAAAGAGGAGTACAGAACTTGGCAGACAATACATATCATGATGCAAAACTCCCTGTGTGGTTTGTCTGTGGTTAAAACATCTTTGCTTCATACAGTAACATAAAACAACAGGTAACGTTGATCTTACCAGCCTCTGATAGGAGACAAAACAAGAAGGAGAAGAAACTTGCAGCAGCTGAATTTCTTTTATAAGAGGGTAGCTCACAGAATTGGTGACTCGAATGAAGTGTAACCTTTAACCCCAGAATCAGAAACACCCTTCCGTTGGCATTCAGCCAGTTCGACAAAAGTTTCCCCTCATTTGACATATTTGGTGCCTAATTGTAAACTTTTATTCCTTAGGCTCGACCCCAGGCGGGCTCCTGGAAAAAGCTGGAACTTTCGCACGAGTACAAGAACGGCAATCAATTGCGTGAATATCAGCTGGAGGGCGTAAACTGGTTACTTTTCAACTGGTACAATAGGTGAGGCTACGGGCAGGAAAGCCCACAGGAGAAATGCAGGTTGGTTAGGGGGAAAATCAGAGAATTTTGTGCTTTCCGTTGTCGGTTGCGAAGGCTGGGATTTCGAGCCGGGGCCAGGAGCCGTGGTGGCGCAGTGGTTAGAATGCAGTATTGCAAGTTAACTCTGTCCACTGCCTGGAGTTCGATCCTAACCGGCTCAAGGTTGACTCAGCCTTCCATCCTTCTGAGGTTGGTAAAATGAGGATCCAGATTGTATGGAGGACGATATGCTAACTCTGTAAACCCCTCATAGAGAGGGCTGTAAAGCACTGTGAAACGGTATATAAGTCTAAGTCAATGTTTCTCAACCTTGACAATTTTAAGGCATGTGGACTTCAACTCCCAGAATTCCACAGCCAGCATTGCTGGCTGTGGAATTCTGGGAGTTTGAAGTCCACATGCCTTAAAATTGCCAAGGTTGAGAAACACTGGTCTAAGTGCTATTGCTACCCATCCCAGCCTCATTATTTTGAGTGGTGTTTTTCCAAAACCAATGGCCGAGAATTCTTAATCATAGTATATCATTAACGGAAGGAGGGATGTAAAATAATATAACTCAAGATTGAAATGGTTGGTTTCAAATTCAGAACAAAGTAGCCCTTTGTTCCCAAATGGGAAACAAAATTGGGCGTCTGTGGAGATTCTCAGTCACCCAGGTCATAGCTGTCCCAAACATACTTCAAGGAGTATAAAGCCTTCATTCTCCATCATCCAGTTCCTTCTTGGAACTGTTGAAAGGACTGTTGTAGACTGGAGATAGATGGTATTGTATCCCTCTGTCCACATTTTGCACAGAGAGGACTGCTGGCTTGAAAGAGGGGTCAAAGAGGCCCTCTTTGTCAAAACTGAACAGCCCTCTCTCAACAGAGAGGGAGGGACATGGCATCCTCAGTCTCCAATCTACAAACACAATCCTTTCAGCAGTTCCAAGAAGGCTCCATATCCATTTGACCCCACTCAGGCGACCTTGAGGACACAGATAAACCTACAAGTGGCCTCAACGACTCGCTGAAAGAAGGCAAATAACCAGTTGTCTGCAAGGAGTATAAATCCTTCCATTCCCCACCATCCAGCCAGAGACGAAGAAGCTTCTTGGATGAGAAGCGAAATGTCTTCAAAGAAAAGCAGTTCAGTTGCCTCCTGAAGAAGCACCTTGAGGACATGGTCTGGTTGATTTGAGAATCTCCATAGATATTCCTCCTTAAATTGTATTTCATTCCATTTCGAATTGACCGGGGGGGGGGTTGGGTATGAGGATTTGGTGAAAACATGTCTACCCCCTTCCAGTCGTACCTCCAGCTCATCCTTTGCTTCGCTCCCCATCAACAGGCAAAATTGCATTCTGGCCGACGAAATGGGGTTGGGTAAAACCATCCAATCCATCGCCTTCTTGGAGGAAGTTTACAACGTGGGGATCCGGGGGCCCTTCCTGGTCATTGCCCCTCTCTCCACCATCACCAACTGGGAACGGGAATTCAACACCTGGACCGAGATGAACACGATTGTGTACCACGGCAGCTTGGCATCCCGCCAGATGATTCAACAATATGAGATGTACTGCAAGGATTCCCGGGTAGGGTGTGGGGAGACATTTGGACCCATCAGGCAATGCCGAGGAACTTTTGGCTGAGACGGGAGGGGGAAGATCACAATATACAAGTAGTCCTCGACTTAAATGACCACAGTCGCGACCAGAGTTTCTGTTGTTAAGCAAGACTGTTATTAACCAAGTCGTGCCCGTTTTTGCAACCTTTTTTTGTTGTTTAAGCTAATCACTGCAGTTGTTAAGTACCGTGTTTCCCCGAAAGTAAGGCCTATACCAGTGATGGCGAACCTTTTAGAGACCGAGTGCCCAAACTGCAACCCAAAATCCACTTATGTATCGTCGTATGCCGGGGGGGCGTGGCCCATTGGGTGGGCGTGGCTGAGGTAATGGCAGACTGGGTGGGACTAAAAAGTTCAATCAATTCCAACTTTGCGAGATCTTTTTTTTTCCCGCGAGAAGCTGAAATTGATTGATTGATTCTTTTTTTTTTTTTTTTTGCACATGGCGTCGGAGGCCTAAAGCGAAAAGGTTTTATAAAACCCAGCTGAAGGCCTAGAACTGGGGCGACGGCGCATGTGCCCACAGAGAGGGCTCTGCGTGCCACCTGTGGCGCGCATGCCATGGGTTCGCCACCATGGGCCTATACCAACAATAAGCCCTAGCTTGATTTTGGGGGGGGGGCTAATATAAGCCCTATCCCAGGGGTAGGCAACCTTGGCTCTTTTATGACTCGTGGATTTCAGCTCCCAGAATTCCTGAGCCAGCATGGCTGGCTCAGGAATTCTGGGAGTTGAAATCCACGAGTCATAAAAGAGCCAAGGTTGCCTATCCCTGCCCTATCCCAAAAATAAGCCCTAGTTTTGGGGTGAGGCACATATCTAAAAATCAAGCTAGGGCGGGGGAATGGAGCTGCCCCACCCGCCCCGCACCCACTTACCTTACAGCCAGGTCTCTCCTCACCAGCCCACTTCTGAGGCCTCTTCTGCAGCCAGGCCTGCATTTCTCAGTCACAGTGCTTTCCGGAAGGCCTTGATCCATAGCTCGGTTCTGCAAGTCCTCAGCAGCCAAGCACCAAGCTATGGATTCAGTCCATTGCTCGGTACTCGACTGCTTCTGGAAAGGCCTGACTGCAAAATGCAGGCCTGAATGCAGCTGCAGAACTTCGGCCTCAGAAGAAGTGGACCGGCTGGGTGGGGCTGTCGGTGCCGGAGGTGAGGTAAGGCCTACCCCGAAAATAAGATCTGATGCCTCTTTTGGAGGCAAAATAAATAAATAAATAAATAAAGACCGAGTCTTATTTTCAGGGAAACACGGTAAGTCAAGTGACACCGACATCCGAGAAGAAGACGGTGCCGAACATCTTCCAAACTTGCCTGGAAAACTGCTTTGCTAATGACGTCCTTTTTTAATTTCTTGCTCGCTTCTGCCCCCCCAACAGGGTCGCCTGATCCCAGGCGCCTACAAGTTTGACGCCCTGATCACCACTTTTGAGATGATTCTGTCGGACTGCCCAGAGCTGAGGGAGATCGAGTGGCGCTGTGTTATCATTGATGAAGCTCACCGCCTGAAGAACCGCAACTGCAAACTTCTGGACAGCCTCAAACATATGGACCTGGTAGGAGCTAAAACGTTTTTGTCTGCTTGGGAAATATGTTTATGGATACTGTTGTTGGATTTGCTGCTTTAGGGATTTATTTATTTATTTATTTATTTATTTATGAGACTTATATACCGCTTATGCCCGTTTAGGAGCTCCTTCAACACAGAATTGTTACTGTGGAGATAGGAAGTAATGGGCGCTCAACATTCAGAGAATGGGATGGGATGGGATGGGATGGGATGGAATAGAGATTAGGAATAGAAGAGAACAGAATAGAGATTAGGAATGGAATGGAATGGAGATTTGGAATAGAACAGAACAGATTAGGAATAGAATAGAGTAGAATAGAATAGAATAGAATAGAACAGAATAGAGATTGAGAATAGAATAGAATAGAATAGAATAGAATAGAATAGAATAGAGATTAGGAATAGAATAGAATAGAGATTAGGAATAGAACAGATTAGGAGTAGAGTAGAGTAGAATAGAATAGAATAGAATAGAGATTGGGAATAGAATAGAGTAGAATAGAGATTGGGAATAGAATAGAGATTGAGAATAGAATAGAGATTAGGAATAGAATAGAATAGAATAGAATAGAATAGAATAGAATAGAATAGAATAGAATAGAATAGAATAGAATAGAATAGAAATTGGGAATAGAATAGAATAGAACAGAACATTTATTGGCCAAGTATGATTGGATACACAAGGAATTTGTCTCTGGTTCATAACAAACAAACAACAAAATAATACACACAAACAACAAAATAATATAATCATAAGATACCCACAGAAAAAGGTAATAGGAAAGATGAGGTGGATAATAGTAATACAGCTGTACCACATGGGTAATATGACATTGCTGTGGGAATTAGGTGTTTAGCAGAGTGATGGCCTAAGGGGGGGGGGGAGATTGTCTCTGACTCTAGTTGCTTTCGCATGCGATGTCCTGTAGCAGCGTCCTGAGGGGAGGAGTTGAAACAGTTTTTATCCTGGATGTGAGGGGTCTGTAGATACTTTCTTAGCCCTTTTTTCTGGCTCGTGCAGTATACAAGTCCTCAATGGAAGTCTGGCTGGCAGCAATTGTTTTTTCTTCAGTCCTAACTCTACGTTGAAGTCTGTGTCTATCCTGTTTGGTTGTTGTTTTCAGGATTTCTGAAAACTAGCAGTTACTTCCAGTTTTCAGCAGAAATGCACCCTAACAAACAGTGGCTTCACACTTAACGATTGGCCATAGCATTCACACTTAGGACCTCCACAAAAACATCATAAGACCAGCCCAGTCACAACTCTATGGAAACTAATCAAGGAGAGTACTGATAGTTAGAGCAATTAAATCAGTGGAACGGATTGCCTTTAGAAGTTGTGGGTGCTCCATCACTGGAGGTTTTTAAGAAGAGATTGGACAGCCACTTGTCTGAAATGGTATAGGGTTTCCTGCTTGAGCAGGGGGGCTGGATTAGATGACCTCCAAGGTCCCTTCCAGCTCTGGTGTTTTGTTTTTCTATGGTACTGTAGTGCCATCATCTATCGCAGTGGTTCTCAACCTGTGGGTCGGGACCCCATTTGGGGTCGAATGACCATTTCACGGGGGTCGCCAAACAACGTAGTCCGCCATTTCTTTCCCCCCTTTTCCTTAGCTGTGCTACTCCCTTTTATTCTATTGGCTTTTGAAAGCCAGTAGAATAGACTCTCTTGAATAGAGTCTAATTCTATTGGCTTTCAAAAGCCAATAGGAATTGTCCAGGCTGTCTCTGCCCTGCTGAGCCCACCAAAAGTCCCATTCTGCAAACAGTGCCGCACCAGTTGAGTAGTCCTTGACTTACGACCGGTTGAGTAGTCGTCAGTTGGGGGGGTCGCGGCATTAAAAAGATTGAGAACCACTGCTCTATCGTGATGATCTCTTCCATCTTCCTCCCCTATAGGAACACAAAGTGTTATTAACGGGCACCCCTCTCCAGAACACAGTGGAAGAACTATTCAGTCTCCTGCACTTCCTTGAACCCTCCCAATTCCCCTCGGAATCGGAGTTCCTCAAGGACTTTGGGGACCTCAAAACTGAGGAGCAGGTAAAAAAAAAAAAAAGGAGCGGTTAGGATATTGGCACTTTTTTTCTCTTTCTGAACCTCCCATTTCTGCTGCTTCTAGCTTCCTACCTGGCTTATTTTCCCCACTATCTGCATTCTCAAACTTCTGCAATGTGCATGAAAACCAAGTAAACGATCTTCAGGAGATGGTTCTCCTTCTCAGTCCATCTGTCCAGAGCTTCAGGTTCAGTTTCAAAAAAGCAGCTTTGGAGCATATATTAATGCAGCCATCTGTTTGAAGCTTTTTAATGCATCTATCTTTTTTCTCAACTTTTTAAAGCTTCAGTTGTGTCCACATGTATTCCAAAGCTCTGTTTTGGAATTGAATCTAAACCTCTAGGCTGGTGAAAATCTAAAGACATTTTAGTTTATGTTATATCTTCCATGTAACCAGTTCTGATCATCATGCGCCATGTTTGAGAGACATAGCATGTGAATGGGATAATCCTGGCTGAGTTTGGCAGCGCTTTCAGTGCATGCTTTCCCCAAATATCACAGTCTGAAGGACTGCTGCCAGCACTTAGCCATGGCTGTCCAGTTCACATTGTCTTCCTTTTCATACAGACCCTTTCCATTCCCCTTTTGGCATACAATACCTGAATCCTTCCTGAGCTAATTAACTTCAGCTTCCTGTTTTGGCAAACTCAGAAACAAATCCTGACTGTCGAAATCCTTATAACTTTTCTTTAAGGTAGGCTTGTATTCCTAGTGAAGGTGTAGTAGGAATTGATTGAAATGGTTAATTTAAAAAGTTATTCTTTAACTCAAGCTTCCTAACTGGATCTGAAGGGGAAAACTTAACTCTTAGCTTGATCCATCTCAAGATGGGCAAGGGCTCTAACCACTGCTCTCTCCCACCCTCCAGGTGCAGAAACTGCAGGCAATCCTGAAGCCCATGATGCTCCGGCGGCTGAAAGAGGATGTCGAGAAGAATTTGGCCCCCAAGCAAGAAACGATCATTGAGGTAGAGCTGACCAATATCCAGAAGAAGTACTACCGGGCCATCCTAGAGAAGAACTTCAACTTCCTCTCCAAGGGGGCGGGGCACAGCAACATGCCCAACCTTCTCAACACCATGATGGAGCTACGCAAGTGTTGCAACCACCCCTACCTCATCAATGGTAAGTGTCAGAGAGTGAATGGAAAGACTTTTTGGGGTGTGGATAATGGAAGAATTGAGCTGCCTAGAACGGAGATAATGGAAGAATTGAGCTGCCTAGAATGGAGATAATGGAAGAATTGAGCTGCCTAGAACGGAGATAATGGAAGAATTGAGCTGCCTAGAATGAGATAATGGAAGAATTGAGCTGCCTAGAATGGAGATAATGGAAGAATTGAGCTTCCTAGAACGGAGATAATGGGAAGAATTGAACTGCCTAGAACGGAGATAATGGAAGAATTGAGCTGCCTAGAATGGAGATAATGGAAGAATTGAGCTGCCTAGAACAGAGATAATAGGAAGAATTGAACTGCCTAGAACGGAAATAATGGAAGAATTGAGCTGCCTAGAATGGAGATAATGGAACAATTGAGCTGCCTAGAACAGAGATAATAGGAAGAATTGAACTGCTTAGAACGGAGATAATGGAAGAATTGAGCTGCCTAGAATGGAGATAACGGAACAATTGAGCTACCTGGAATGGAATGGAATGGAATAGAATAGAATAGAATAGAATAGAATAGAATAGAATAGAATAGAATAGAATAGAATAGAATTTTTTATTGGCCAAGTGTGACTGGACAGACAAGGAATTTGTCACTGGTGCTTAAGCTCTCAGTATACATACAGCCAACAAAGTGATAGGTCATAGATCATAAATCATAGTTAAAATCATTAATCATAAGTTACAAACATCAAATGATAAAATATAAGATAATAGAAAGTAGGAAAGGTGAGGAAGATAAGGATAATAGCAATGCTGCCTACTACATGGGTAAATGTCTTTAGTCCTAAGACAGTGCAGTGGGAATTAGGTGTTCAGTTAGAACAGTGGTTCTCAACTTTTTTAATGCCGCGACCCCCCAACTGGTCGTAAGTCGAGGACTATTCAACCGGTCGTAAGTCGAGGACTACTCAACTGGTGCAGCACCATTTGCAGAATGAGACTTTTGGCGGGCTCAGTAGGGCAGAGACAGCCTGGACAATTCCTATTGGCTTTTGAAAGCCAATAGAATTAGACTCTATTAGACTCCCTAAAAGGGAGTAGCACAGCTAAGGAAAAGGGGAAAAAAATGGCGGATTGCGTTGTTTGGCGACCCCCGTGAAATGGTCGTTCGACCCCAAATGGGGTCCCGACCCACAGGTTGAGAACCACTGAGTTAGATTTCGGGGAAGCTGCTCTTTGCAAAATAAAGATAATCTTTACGGGTTGGTCATTTAGCAGCCATTCAGAGTATTGCCTGACCGCAAAAACCTATGACCCAGATTCAAAGTTCAGATTCGTCGTGTGGGTGCCTCGACTTGTGACTATCAACGATGTATAACGAAATATCCAGGCTCCATTAAGGTCACAAGTCAAGGACAAAGTGTAAACTCAAAACATATTATTAGCTTAGGAGCTTAAAAGCCTCCCGAGATCTTTTCTTAGGCACAGAAAGTCTCCCGTTTAGAGAAGAACAGTCAATAGGAACGACAAGCAAGGGACATCACTTGAGAGCCGAGGTGGCGCAGCAGTTAGAGTGCAGTACTGCAGGCTACTTTAGCTGACTGTGTTCAGCAGGTCAGCGGTTCAAATCTCACCGGCTCAAGGTTGACTCAGCCTTCCATCCTTCAGGGGTAGGTAAAATGAGGACCCAGCACACACACACACACACACACATACATTGCTTACTGGTGTACACCGCTTAGAGAGTGCTTGCACTTAAAGCGGTATATAAGTCTCATAAATAAATAAATAAATCACTTGACCAAAGTGCCATTTGCAACGACTTGGCACGTTCTAATACAGTGGTTCTCAACCTTTCTAATGCTGTGACCCCATAATACAGTTCCCCATGTTGTGGTGACCCCCAAGTGGGTGTGGCCACCAATAAGAGGGAGTAGGACAGCTAGGGAAAAGGGGAAAAAATGGCGGACAGCGTGGTTTGGCGACCCCCGTGAAATGGTCATTTGACCCCAAATGGAGTCCCGACCCACAGGTTGAGAACCACTGTTCTAATATCTCAAGCTTGGTTTCTCCATCCCCTCGCCGCCCACCCACCCCCGGAAATGTGGACAATTTCTTCATTTGGGTGTCCTTCTCCCCCAAACCAGGTGCCGAGGAGAAGATCTTGACCGAGTTTCGGGATTCCTGCCACCACCACGTGCCCCATGACTTCCCCTTACAGGCCATGGTGCGTTCCTCTGGGAAATTGGTGCTGATCGATAAGCTGCTTCCCAAACTGAAAGCCGGAGGGCACAAGGTGCTGATTTTTTCCCAGATGGTCCGTTGTCTGGACATCCTGGAAGACTACCTCATCCAAAAGAGGTGAGAGCTTGTGCGCAGTGATGGGGGCGATGATGATGGCAATGATGTTATCCATTCAGTTGTATCCGACTCTTGGCAATTCTGTGGGCCAGGACTCCCCACGTCTTCCAATCCTGCACGATGTCAATGCTGCAAATATTGTATATTCTTGCTTTGACAATATGCAAAACTGTCTGGTATTTACTGGGTTAATACATAGCTTAGAGTGGGGGGGGAAGCCGGGGAAAGAAAGAGGAAGTAAACTTTTGACCTTCACACTAATTGGATAATGTGACTTGTGACTGCAAGATAAGGGAGGGATTTAGCAAGAAAAGATTGATGCCAGCGAGAGGAAGTCAGATTCTGGCATCACAACATCCATGATGGTGACCGGCAATTTGTAGCCCTGAAATAAAGACTTTAGGAAACATGCCTGAAAGTTCTTTGAAGTGCTTCATTAGTCGGAACCTCTGACACACGACTTCTTTTGAGTTTTTCTACACCAGTGGTGGCAAATCCATGGCACGTGTGCCAGAGGTGGCACTCAGAGCCCTCTCTGTGGGCACCCGCGCCATGCCCCGGAGATGGCAACCGTCCCTCTTCAACCAGCTGCCTGCTAACTCGTCGAGGTCCCACATGGCCGGATGCATCCCAGCACCCATGCGCTCTCTGACCTCTGCGTGCAGGGGCTGATGGTGTCAGGCAACAGCCGCCCCGGCCCCTGCCTCACTTTGCCCTGTGACAATGGCACCCCTGCCCTGCCTCAAATTGCCTTGCCTGACTCCGCAGGACGAGCCTCCTGCCCACCGCCCCACCTGCCAGAGACCCCCTGGATCTCCCAACTCTGCCCGGCCCCCCACAGGTGTCCCCCCCCACGAGCAACATCGAGGTGACCACGCCCACCTTGGCCACACCCACCCAATCTGCCATGACCATCACAGCCACGCCCACCCAGTGGGCCACGCCAACCTGGCACCCGGCAATAAATAAGTGGGTTTTGAATTGCAATTTGGGCACTCGGTCTCTAAAAGATTCGCCATCACTGTTCTATACTCTGGCTGGTGTCAGCTTTGATGGTATCCGGCCCTTGTGTTCTTTGAGGGAGGGGTTTCCTTCTGCTGCTAACCCTTCCAAACATCATTGCTTTATCCAATGAATCCCCCCCCCCCCATGACATGCCAAATTAAGTGAGACTCGGCTTTTTGCCTTCTACTGACATATCTGGTATTACACGCTGCAATATTTGCTGGTTGGTCACCTTGCTGTCTAGCCCCAGCCCCCAAACCAACTACTCCGCAGCCTTATTTCATTCATGCGATAACATTCATGATTTCACAATCAGCACAATCCTCCTCGCTGAGAATCTTCACTTGGCTGTCAGAAATCCTTACCCCACCCCTGGCTCCAACAAGACACGAGTCGGTGAGTTCACAGGTGATCGGTTTTAATCACGGAGCTTCTGGCATACGTTTAGTCATATAAACCAGGGCTTTTCAACCTTTTCACCCATTGTACCACTTTTAGCATATGGGAATATCCGAGTACCACCAGTCGCCTAGCAAGGTGTCAAAAACTTGATGACAAAAAAAAGGAAAAAAGTGATAAAGTACAGGTAGTCCTTGACTTACAACAGTTCACTTAGTGACTGTTTGAAGTTACAATGGCACTGAAAAAAGTGCCCCCCAAGCCACAGCTGAGCAAGACGCCTGCCTGCCCAGCGGTGCTCTTCCTCCTGTCCGAGGTTTTCATTGCTGTGAGCATTTCTGTTGAGGATTGGCAGCGGCGGTGGGGGGGGATGTTTAGTTTTTATTCCCCCTATCTGCTGGGTGGTTGCAGCAGGTTTTGGTCACTTCACATGACCCTGGGACACTGTGACCATCATAAATATGAATCAGTTGCCAAACATCTGAATGTAAATCAGAAGACCCTGGAGATGCTGAAACATTCCAGCTGATCGGCGCTTCTTCTGGGCTCAGCAGAAACACCAGGATCAGCGCCGAGCTCCAGCTGGAGCCGGGCACTGATCCTGGCACTTCCACTGAGCCCTGACAACCCCGAAGAAGCGCTGATCCTGGCATTTCCGCTGAGCCCTGACAGCCCTGCAGCTGCAGCCGTCTCTCGCTCAGGCTTGTGCGCTGCTGCCACCAGTTCACCTCATTCCCCTCCCCCCCATCACTTTTCTAGGATGGTCGTGTACCACCTGCCAGGTGCCAGTGTACCACAGGTGGTACCCGTACCACTGGTTGAAAAGCCCTGATATAAACACAAATAAAGTCAGCGCTGAGAGCAATTGCCTCCCAGCACCTTACATATGCCTTCCCCACCGGGGCCCCCCCCCCACCTAACCAGCATCCGGTGTGCGGGGTGATAAGAGGGCAGGACACACTGCAGGCTCCCAGCCCCGTGAGCTTTCCTGCACCGATCAGCTGCTCATTGGGCCGCACTGCAGGCCTCTGGCCTCCTGGTGCTTCCCTGCGCCGAACAGCTGTTTGGCGGGCTGGCCACGGACCCGGTCAGCTGTTCGGCGGGACAACTGCAGAGCCAGTGGCCACGCCACCACGCTCTGTCCATCGACAGTCCAGGTAACGGGAGAGGGAAGGGCTGTCGCCGTTGGTCTTGTCACTGGCCTTCTCCGCCAAATCAGGATGCTCCCAGACGTCGTCCTTGCCCCCTTCCCCCTCCAATCAGTGTCGAGCCCACAGAGGTTTGACAATGGTATCCTCTACAATTCTTAATATTATGGTTATCTTTAAAATGGACAATTTCTTAAAAAAAACCAAAAACCATCCAACCAAAACATCTCAGCCACGGAAGGAGTTAGTGCATTCACGTAGAGGTGGCAACATTTGAACAGATGAAGTTAAGTGGTTTTTTTTTTTCCCTATATACAATTACACTTTAACGGTTCTATCTGAAATGTGTGTGTGCAAAAGGTCCCTTTTAGTTATCGTCCATAGCAGCAAAAAAAATGCATGATTTCCAGAAGAAGAGACATAAAAATTCTGTGGCAGCAAGCCAGTCATATGTTGTCACAACTGCTTTTGTATGTTCTTTTGTTGTGCTCAATTTTTATAATTGTATTCATTGTAAATGAATGAGGTTAAGTGTGGCGCAATTTCTTTATGTGATCTGTTGTTACATCGTTCATTCAGAATTTGTGATATCCAGGGTTTTTTTTTTCCCTTTTTATAAAAAAAATTTGAACTAGAGGCAAGTTTGTGGGTGTTTGCAATAAAGACGGATGAGTTCAGATGTTGACATCGGTGTTTAACAGAATCCTGTATCTTTTCTGTGCAGGTATCTCTATGAACGTATTGATGGGCGGGTGCGTGGCAATCTGCGACAAGCCGCCATCGACCGCTTTAGCAAGCCTGATTCGGATCGTTTTGTGTTCCTTCTCTGTACCCGGGCGGGAGGTCTGGGCATCAACCTCACAGCTGCTGATACCTGCATAATTTTCGATTCGGACTGGAATCCTCAAAATGACTTGCAGGTACTGTTTGAGGGCCTCTGGGGTGGATGGCGAATCAGACGCCAGTATCCAGAAACGTGAGGCTTGAAACGTCCGTTCTATTCAGAGTTGTCTTACCATTTGCCTGAAGTAGCCATAGCATTATAGCAACCGCTCTTAGACTTATATGCCGCTTCACCTTGCTTTAAAGCCCTCTCTAAGCGGTTTACAGAGTCAGCCTATTGCCCCCATTTTAACCGACCTCAGAAGCATGGAAGGCTTGAGTCAACTTTGAACTGGTCAGGATCGAACTGCTGGCAGTTGGCAGAAGTAGCTGTCGACACTGCTAACATTGAATATTCTTGCTTTGACAAAATATGCAGAACTGCCTGGTATTTTCAGAGTTAATTCAGATGACAGAGAAAAGGGAGGGGAAATAACAAAAGCCCGGGAAAAGGAACCGAAGTGAATCTCTGCCCTCTGGGCTAATTGGAAGATGTGACTTGTGACTGCAAGATAAGGGAGGGGTTTAGCAAGAAAAGTGAGATGCCAGCAAGAGGAATTCAGATTCTGGCATAAACCTCCATGATGTGCCGTCAATTTGTAACTGGTAATAAAGGCTTTAGGACAGTGGTTCTCAACCTGTGGGTCGGGACCCCATTTGGGGTCGAACGACCATTTCATGGGGGTCACCAAACAATGCAGTCTGCCATTTCCCCCCCCCCTTTTCCTTAGCTGTGCTACTCCCTTTTATTCTATTGGCTTTTGAAAGCCAATAGAATAGACTTTCTTGAATAGAGTCCAATTCTATTGGCTTTCAAAAGCCAATAGGAATTGTCCAGGCTGTCTCTGCCCTGCTGAGCCCGCCAAAAGTCCCATTCTGCAAACGGTGCTGCACCAGTTGAGTAGTCCTTGACTTACGACCGGTTGAGTAGTCCTCGACTTACGACCGGTTGGGGGGTCACGGCATTAAAAAGGTTGAGAACCACTGCTTTAGGATAAACATGCCTGGAAATTCTTTGAAGTGTTTCATTAGTTGGAACCATGACAGTAGCCTGCAAATACTGCATTCTAACTAGTGCACCACCAGGCCTCTTAGCATCTCCTGCTTGAACAGGAAGTTGGACTGGAAGACCCCCAAAGTCCCTTCCAGCTCGTAATTCTGTGAAGATCAGTGCATGATTTCAAGCTGTGAAGATCAGTGCATGATTTCAAGCGTGTCCTTTTTTTTTTTTTTTTATCCTGCCTAATTGATAGGATTGGGATCACTGAAGAGCAAGTAGTCACAAATGTATCTTGGTAGGGGTTGGAAAGCAGAATATAAATGGGATGTTCGGCTCTCCTTGCCTGTTCCTTCCCTTAAATTCTCTTTCTGTCAGATTCCCCAAAGGAATTGGATGCGTATCATGCCATTAGAAAAGGCATTACAGTACAGGTAGTCCTCAACTTTCGACCATTTGTTTAGTGACTGAAATTACAACAGCACTGAAAAATGTGGCTTCTGACCATTTTTCACACTTAACAATTGTTGTAGCATCCCTGTGGTAACATGATCAAAATTCAGGCACTGGGCAGCGGGCATTTATGATAGTTGCACTCCTCCCAGGATTATGTGATCACCATTTGTAACTGTCAACGCTGCTAACATGAGCCGAGGTGGCGCAGCAGTTAAGAGTGCAGTACTGCAGGCCACTTTAGCTGACTGTGTTCAGTAGTTCAGTGGTTCAAATCTCACCGGCTCAAGGTTGACTCAGCCTTCCATCCTTCCGAGGTAGGTAAAATGAGGACCCAGGCGTAAAATTTGAAGTGTCTTGGCGTAGGTCTTTGGTTGTTCGGGTTTTCTTCCACGTAAAATTGGAAGTGTCTTGGCGACGTTTCGACGAAGTCCCATTCGTCATCTTCAGGCTGGTGTTTTCAGCTTCGTGCTTTGAGCTGCTCAAAGCACGAAGCTGAAAACACCAGCCTGAAGATGACGAATTGGACTTCGTCGAAACGTCGCCAAGACACTTCCAATTTTACGCGGGAGAAAACCCGAACAACCAAAGACCTACATACAAATACCCGCGAAAACCTCAGAAAACATATATATATATACACACATACATTGCTTACTGGTGTACACCGCTTAGAGAGTGCTTGCACTTAAAGCGGTATATAAGTCTCATAAATAAATAAATAAATAAATTGGATGTTCTTGCTTTGACAACAGGTGGAGATGCAGCCTTTTTCTTTCTTATGCTTTACTCTTAGAATTAGAGGTTACTGGGAGAGGTGGAGGAGGAATGTGATGGGAGTTACTTAGATATACGGTATTGTAATAAGGGATTAAGATAAGGCATGGCGGAATAAAGAACTGGGCCTGGGCGGAAAGCCAGCATTTCAAACTAATTGGAGAATGTGATTTATGACTGTTAGTTGTAGGAGAGGATTGTGCTTTGATCTATGTGCTGAAGGGAGGGGAAGTCAGATGTTGGCTTTGACTACCTACGTGCCAAAGCTATGTTGCTCAATAAAGATTCTTTAAGGTAAACAATGCCTCAAAAGTTCTTTGAAGAGTTTCATCTGTCGGAAGCATGACAGTAACCTTCCCAGTTGGCCTCAAGACGAGCAAAGTCAATCGGGCCGGCCAGCCAGATTTCCTTAACAACCCACATGATTCACTTTAACAACTGTGGCAAAGGAAGGTTGTAAAATGGGTGCGACTCACTTGACCACTGCCTTCCTCAGCAGTGGAGATTTTGGGCTCAATTGCGGTCATAATAACTGCTACGAACTGTACCACCACCAGCAAGTTTCTAATTTGGGCACTTCTGTCCAGCGGTAGAATGACATGGAGGGACTTTTCTGAGTATCGGGGAGCTAAATTGTGACCTTCTGTTTGCTAAGACACAGGTTGTCTATGGCAGGTTCTCAGTCATCCAGGTCACGGTTGCCCCAAAGGTGCTTTTTCCACAAGGCAACTGGAGTTCCTTGCTTTTCTTTGAAGATGTATCGCTTCTCACCCAAGAAGCATCTTCAGCTCTGAATGGATGGTGGGGAAATGGAAGGATTTATACTCCTTGCAGACAGCTGGTCATTTGCCTTCTTTTAGAGCAGGGGTTCTCAACTTTTTTAATACCGCGACCCCCCAACCGGTCGTAAGTCGAGGACTACTCAACCGGTCGTAAGTCGAGGACAACTCAACTGGTGCAGCACCGTTTGCAGAATGGGACTTTTGGCGGGCTCAGCAGGGCAGAGACAGCCTGGACAATTCCTATTGGCTTTTGAAAGCCAATAGAATTAGACTCTATTCAAGAGAGTCTATTCCATTGGCTTTCAAAAGCCAATAGAATAAAAGGGAGTAGCACAGCTAAGGAAAAGGGGGAAAAAATGGTGGACTGCGTTGTTTGGCGACCCCCGTGAAATGGTCGTTCGACCCCAAATTGAGAACCACTGGACTAGAGAGTCATGGAGGCCTTTGGGAGGTTTGTCTGTGTCCTCAGGGTCACCTGAGCGGTGCAAATGTGTGTGGAGCCTTCTTGGTTGCAGGATGTTTTCTGCCTTGGGTCCCTTCATGGTTGAAGACAGGCGCAGGCTGTTGGGGGATGAATCTGTGTTGTCTGCCTCTCAAACTGAAGCGCAAGTGGTCCCTGTAGTCTGCAATGTTTTCTGGAAATCCGTTCATACTCCCACACCATTCAAAGGGTGTTCATCCCAAAGTGCATAGCTATAGGTCTATGGAGATCCAGGTTGTGGTTTTCCCAAAGGTGCTTTTTCAAGAGGCAACTGGACTTTCTTGTTTTTCTTGACATTTCGCTTCTCATCCAAGAAGCATCTTCGGCTCTGATTGGATGATGGGGAATGGAAGGATTTATACTCCTTGCAGACAGCTGGTCATTTGCATTCTTTTAGAGAGTCATTGAGGCCACTTGTAGACGGATGGTAAGACACAGGTTGTTTGATTAAAACAAAAAACAACCTCCCTCTGCTGGGTGGTTGCAGCAGGTTTTGGTCACTTCACATGACCCTGGGACACTATGACCATCATAAATATGAATCAGTTGCCAAACATCTGAATGTAAATCAGAAGACCCTGGAGATGCTGCAACATTCCAGCTGATCGGCTCTTCTTCTGGGCTCAGCAGAAGCGCCAGGATCAGCGCCGAGCTCCAGCTGGAGCCTGGCGCTGATCCTGGCGCTTCCACTGAGCCCTGACAGTCCTGAAGAAGTGTTGATCCTGGCATTTCCGCTGAGTCCTGACAGCCCTGCAGCTCCAGCCATCTCTTGCTCAGGCTTGTGCGGTGCTGCCACCAGTTCAGCTCAACTATTGTGTCTCTCTTCGGGGTTTGAAGGATGCTTGTAGGCTTCACCGCCTACTCTTGCTTCCCTGTTTCCTCCAGGCACAAGCTCGCTGCCACCGCATCGGGCAGAGCAAGGCCGTGAAAGTTTACCGTCTCATCACGCGGAATTCCTACGAGCGGGAGATGTTTGACAAAGCCAGCCTCAAGCTGGGGCTGGACAAGGCTGTCCTGCAGTCCATGAGCGGGCGAGAAGGGAGCATCACCGGGGTAAGTAGTGCTTGAGGGGAAAGCTGCAGAGAATAAAGAAGATGGCCTTGGTGGAGATAAGCCAGATTCCTCCCCCAGAGCTCCAAGACAAGAAGCACGGCTGAAGTTCAAAGCAGTCTGACGTGGGGAGGAGACAGCTGAGATAGACACTTGCCTGAGTTCACAGGAGTATTGGTGGGTGGGGTTTGGGAGGAAGCACCATCGGAATTGCAAGGTTCTGTTCCTACAGCCCATAAAACACTACTTTCTTGATCTGGTACACCAGTGGTTCTCAACCTGTGGGTCGGGACCCCATTTGGGGTCGAACGACCATTTCACGGGGGTCGCCAAACAACGCAGTCCGCCATTTTTTTCCCCCTTTTCCTTAGCTGTGCTACTCCCTTTTATTCTGTTGGCTTTTGGGACAACCATGATTTAGACCAGTGGTTCTCAACCTGTGGGTCGGGACCCCATTTGGGATCGAACGACCATTTCACGGGGGTCGCCAAACAAGGCTGTCCGCCATTTTTTCCCCATTTTCTTTGGCCACCCCCCTGGCACCCGGTGATGTATAAGTGGTTGGGTCACCACAACATGGGGAACTATATTATGGGGTCGCAGCATTAGAAAGGTTGAGAACCACTGATTTAGACCATTGAGAAATCTCTATAGACATATTGTTAGGAAGATTCTCAGCCATCCAGGTCATAGTTATCCCAAAGGTGCTTTTTCCCACGAGCCAACTGGACTTTCTTGTTTTTCTTTGGAGACGTTTCGCTTCTCATCCAAGAAGCTTCTACAGCTGAACAGGAAGTCTGACTTCACAAGAAGAGTAGTGGAAGTTTGGAACCAAATTCTAGAAGAATTAGCGGGCCAGTCATCAGTAACATGCTTGGGATAAACACATGTCCATCATCTGGCAAAAATGAAAAAAATTAAAAATATATATAATTAATTAATTAATTGATGATTGATTGATTGAAAAGAAAAAAATCTCAAGGGCAGAGTCAATGGACAACTACTGTGTTTCCCTGAAAATAAGACCGGGTCTTATGTTAATATTTGCTCCAAAAGGTGCATTTAGGGCTTATTTTCCAGTTAGGCCTTATATTCAGGGAAATATGGTACTGGGTGACAATGCTTATTTTTTGGGGTGGGGTTTATATTATAAGCGTCCTGAAAAGTCATGCTAGGGGCTTGTTTTCCAGTTGGGTCTTATTTTAGGGCAACGGTTCTCAACCTATGGGTCGCGACCCCATTTGGGGTCGATCGACCATTTCACGGGGGTCGCCAAGCAAGGCTGTCCGCCATTTTTTTTCCCCTTTTCCGGCGGGTGCCTTACCTCCCTTGGGCTGGGCCACCTGGTGGTCGGCCTGCTCCGTCTCTGCTGCTTGCCAGCTATACCTCGGCCGGCGCAGGGGGTGGCACCACACATGCGCGACACTCCCGGGCAAGGAAAGTCCTCGACTTACAACCAGTTGGGTAGTCCTCGACTTATGACCGGTTTAGTCCTCGACTTACAACCGGTTGGGGGGTCGCAGCATTAAAAAGGTTGAGCACCACTGTTTTAGGGGAAACATGGTAGATCTTTTTTCTGCCCTAGTTTGGTATGGTTTTATGTATCGCTTCAAACGTCTTTGGATTGCACAGCTGGGCTCTCTCCTGTGTTGCTCCTGACACTGGACTGACCAGAGAAGAGAAGAGAACAACCATCATTTCTTCCTTCTGCCCCTCTCCCAGATTCAGCAGTTCTCGAAAAAAGAGATTGAGGATTTGCTACGCAAAGGGGCCTATGCCGCCATTATGGAAGAGGATGATGAAGGGTCCAAGTTCTGCGAAGAAGATATTGACCAGATCCTCCTTCGGCGCACCACCACCATCACCATTGAGAGTGAAGGAAAAGGGTCCACCTTTGCCAAGGTATCCTTATTCCCTAACCCTGTTTCAAAATAACTAGGCGTTCAAGAGTTCAGATGTGATTCAGGGTGAGGCCAATTCCATTCAGAGAAGGCTGATGAGTAGATGTCTGCAGAGAAGAAAGCAAGAACCAAAAAGAAGCAAGGTTGTTCGTGTCACACGTACTGCTTGTGTTGTCTAAAATATACTGTTTGTTCTGATCTGTAATAGTTTACAGAATATCGGGCACTGATAAGAGTTTAAGGAGGCTTTCCAGAGGGCCTGGAACAGTGTTTCTGAACCTCAGCAACTTCAAGATGCGTGCATTTCAAGATGGCTGCCTGGAGAATTCTGAGAGTCGACATGCACACATTTTGAAGTTTGCTGAGGTTCAAAAACACTGGCCCAGACTCTACTGAAATAAGCTATGGAGTTGTACTTGCCTGTCTTTTAAAGCAGGGCCTTTCAACCTTTTCACCCATTGTACCACTTTTAGGATATAGCACTATCCGAGTACCGCCAGTCACCTAGCAAGGTGTCAAAAACTTGATGACCAAAAAAAAAGGAAAAAAGTACAGATAATCCTCTGCTTACAACAGTTCGCTTAGTGACTGTTTGACGTTACAATGGCACTGAAAAAAGTGCCCCCCAAGCCACAGCCGAGCATGACACCTGCCTGCCCACCTGGCGGCGTTCTTCCTCCTGTCCGAGGTTTTCATTGCTGTGAGCATTTCTGTTGAGGATTGGTAGCAGGGTGGGGTGGCGGGGTGTTTGGTTTTTATTCCCCCCATCTGCTGGGTGGTGGCAGCAGGTTTTGATCACTTCACATGACCCTGGGACACTGTGACCGTCATAAATATGAATCAGTTGCCAAGCATCTGAATGTAAATCACAAGACCCTGGAGAAGCTGCAACATTCCAGCTGATCGGCGCTTCTTCTGGGCTCAGCAGAAGTGCCAGGATCAGCGCCGAGCTCCAGCTGGAGCCTGGCGCTGATCCTGGCACTTCCATTGAGACCTGACAGTCCTGAAGAAGCGCCGATCCTGGCGCTTCCGCTGAGCCCTGACAGCCCTGCAGCTCCAGACATCTCTCGCTCAGGCTTGTGTGGTGCTACCACAGGTTCAGCTCATTCCCCTCCCCCGCTACCACTTTTCTAGGATAGTCGCATACCACCTGCCAGGTGCCAATGTACCACAGGTGGTACCCGTACCACTGGTTGAAAAGCCCTGTTTTAAAGGGCCTGTACAAAAATCTACTTGTTTTTAAGACAAAGGCCAACCAGATTTCACCCTGGGAATATTATGCTCCTTGGAAAAACAACTTGTGTGGGTTCACACAATGTACATTAGGTCCAAGTTAACAAACAAACAAACATTCTTGAGGGTACACAAGAACAAAATTGAATTAAAAGATGGAGGAAGGAGACCACCGAGCAAGGAATAACATTAAAGGAGGATATGGTGGAAGGATCTGACTTCCTCTTGTACTACGCGGAGGCCCCTAAATACGTTGAGAATTGGCGTGCCTGAGTGTAAAACCAATAGGTTCAAATGGAGGCTCTTAGTGGATAGCAACATGCTTTTGTGAATGTGGAGAAACACAGAACCCAGCCATCTGCTGGTATGTCGGCTACTACCAGAAACGTACCGGTAATGATTTATTTTTGGCCAATGACAAAGCCAGGAAGGGGGTTTCATTCTGGCAGTTTAAACTTTGATCTAGACATGGAAGGAGAAGAAGGAGAAAGAGAAGGAAGTTAATGAAACCTGACTGCTTTATTCTATGCTCAAGCAAATAAAGCGAAGTCTGTCTGATCATTCACAAAAGGCATCAAGACAATGATTGGATTTCCCACAACAAACTGAGCCACAAAGTATCTAAGCACTGCTATGCCGGTGGATTGTACAAATCTAGCAAAACGTCATGCATATGAGAGTGTGTGTGAAGAAGTCTGCTTTACAGTAAACATGATACCCAAACCTTCCTCCTTTATTTTGCCTCTGCTCCTTTCCCAGGCAAGCTTTGTGGCCTCTGAAAACAGGACAGACATCGCTCTGGATGACCCCAATTTCTGGCAGAAATGGGCCAAGAAGGCAGACTTAGACCTGGATCTTCTGAATAGTAAGGTGTGTTGGGTTGGGAAGAGGGATCCCGTCAACTTGCACGATTGTCTGGGTGAGTAATAGAAGAATCAGGAAAGGGTTGCACAAAGTCCAGTCTTTCATGGTACGGACTTCTTGTTGTGTGGGACGACAAGATTTAATTTTTCCACACCAGAACTGGATCTTTAGAGCAGGGGTCCCCAACCCCCCCCCCCCGGTCCAGCAACTGATCCACAGAAACAAGCAGAGCCCCATCCGTGGGATGCAGGCAGCACACACAGACACACACTCTCTGCTCCGTGGAGAAACCCTGTTGCCCAAAAGGTTGGGGACCTCTGCTTTAGAGCAGGCAGTAGCCCAGTTGTAACTCAGGGGTGGTTGCGCTTGCCTGTCTGATTTGCAGAAGGCATAACGTTGAATGAGAGAGTTGACATACGGAGGGACGCCGGTTAAATTCTGGATGACCTCGATCAGTTTGAGGAATGGGATCAGAGGAAAATGCAAGATCTTCCTGTGTTTGAAATTTCCCAAGAATGAAGTTCAAAACACAGGAAAACGCTCTTCATTCAGGAAAGAGAAGGCAAATGTGCACTGCAGGATGAAATATAACTGGCTTTACAACAGTTCTTGTGGGGGGGGGGAATTTGTGGAAAAGTAGTTGATTACAGATTCAACCCAAGACCCTAACCCAGGGGTAGGCAACTTTGGCTCTTTTATGACTCTTGGACTTCAGCTCCCAGAATTCCTGAGCCAGCATGGCTCAGCTTGGAAACCTCTCCCTTTCCCCTCAGCATGGCTGGCTCAGGAATTCTGGGAGTTGAAGTCCATGAGTCATAAAAGAGCCAAGGTTGCCTACCTCTGGCCTAGGTCTAGGATGCTTTGTAACTCGTGGACTTCAACTCCCATAATTCCTAAGCTGGCATGAGGGAAACTTTGGCCCCTTCATGACTCGTGGACTTCAACTCCCAGAATTCCTGAGCCGGCATGAGGGAAACTTTGGCCCCTTCATGACTTGTGGACTTCAACTCCCAGAATTCCTGAGCCGACATGAGGGAAACTTTGGCCCCTTCATGACTTGTGGACTTCAACTCCCAGAATTCCTGAGCCAGCATGGCTCAGCTTGGAAACCTCTCCCTTTCCCCTCAGCATGGCTGGCTCAGGAATTCTGGGAGTTGAAGTCCACGAGTCATAAAAGAGCCAAGGTTGCCTATCTTTGCGTTTTAGGAAGCCTGGATTAAAGAGGCAGATATGAGCCAAGGAAGCTAAACTGGGTGACCCTGGGCTAGATCCTCTTTCTGACCTACTTCACAGGGCTGTTGTGGGCAAAAGACTGTCTGAATAATCACAATGGCAATGCACTTGCGACTCTCTATCTAAAGAGAGAGAGCGCAGCTGTTGAACTAGGGGTAGGCCGCCTTGGCTCTTTTACGACTCGTGGACTTCAACTCCCAGAATTCCTTAGCCAGCATGAGGGAAAATATGGCCCCCTCATGACTCGTGGACTTCAACTTCCAGAATTTCTGAGCCAGCATGGCTCAGTTTGGAAACCTCTCCCTTTCCCCTCAGTGTGGCTGGCTCAGGAATTCTGGGAGTTGAAGTCCACGAGTCATAAAAGAGCCAAGGTTGCCTACCCCTGCCCTAACCCAAGACTGTCACATAGCTGCAGAAAAACAAAACAAAACAAAAAATATAGAGTTTCCATGCTGCATCAATGGAAGTTTTCAAGATCACGGGAAGGAATGGTTTCAGACCTCATTCCTAGAACTGTGTCAAATCTAGGCATTAGTTTTAAGGAGGATTTGATGAGGAGCAGAGGGGAGCAATCAGGAGACAAAATTCTGTTCAGAAATTGAAAAAAAATATAGGAAGGTTCAGCTGCCCCAAAATTGGAAACTCAAGAGGCTATTGCCTTCAAATACGGAACATGGGATAGTGCAGTGGTTCTCAGGCTGTGGGTCGGGACCCCATTTGGGGTCGAACGACCATTTCACGGGGGTCACCAAACAACGCAGTCCGCCATTCCCCCCCCCCCTTTTCCTTAGCTGTGCTACTCCTTTTTATTCTATTGGCTTTTGAAATAGAGTCTAATTCTATTGGCTTTCAAAAGCCAATAGGAATTGTCCAGGCTGTCTCTGCCCTGCTGAGCCCGCCAAAAGTCCCATTCTGCAAACGGTGCTGCACCAGTTGAGTAATCCTCGACTTATGACCGGTTGAGTAGTCCTCGACTTACGACTGGTGGGGGGTCGTGGCATTAAAAAGGTTGAGAACCACTGGGATAGTGTGAGGGATCCTTGGTGCTGTCTGAGCTTGGTTGTTTTCTTGCAGACATGTCATTTCCCAAACTAAGTAACATCATCCGTGCTGGTCAATGTTGATAATGTTGAGCACCGATGATGTGTCCTAGTTTGGGAAATGAAATATCTGCAAGAAAACAACCCAGCCCAGACACACACCAAGGACCCCTGCGTTTCAACTCTGAGCTACAAATATTCTCCTTTATTGGCATGGCATAGTTTTTCTAAGGCCTTTGAACGATGGTGCTGGAGAAGACTCCTGTGAGTCCCTTGGACTGCAAGGCGTTCAAACCAGTCAGTCCTAGAAGAGATCAACCCCGACTGATCTTTAGAAGGCCAGATCCTGAAGTTGAAACTCAAATACTTTGGCCACCTAATGAGAAGGAAGGACTCACTGGAGAAGGGCCTAATGCTGGGAAAGATTGAGAGCAATAGAAGAAGGGGACGACAGAGAAGGAGGTGGCTGGATGGAGTCACTAAAGCAGTAGGTGTGAACTTAAATGGACTCCAGAAGATGGTAGAGGACAGGAAGACCTGGAGGAACGTTGTCCATGGGGTCGCGATGGGTCGGACACGACTTTGCAATCAACAACAACAACAACAAAAGTTTTTCTAAATTTTAGAAAAGCAGATTCCAATTGGATGTTAGGGAAAACTGCTCTTTTTAATAATAGCAGCTCAACTGTGGGATGCGTTAGCAAGAGCAGAGGTCTCCAAACCTGGCAACATTAACACTGGTAGACTTCAGCTTTCAGAATTCCCCAGCCACTTGGCTTGGCTGGCTGAGGAATTATGGGAGTTGAAGTCCAGAAATCTTAAAGTCGTCACATTTTTGAGACCCCTAAGCAAGAGGCTGGACCATGCACTGTTTAGCAAGAAAAATCTGGCCATCGTGGTTGGTTGCTTTAATGCACATTCCTATGCTGGCCCAAAGGTGCTTTTTCAGGAGGCAACTGGACTTTCTTGTTTTTCCTTTCAAGACGTTTCGCTTCTCATCCAAGAAGCTTCTTCAGCTCTGACTGGATAGTGGGGAATGGAAGGATTTATACTCCTTGCAGACAGCTGGTCATTTGCATTCTTTTAGAGAGTCGTTGAAGCCACTCAGAGTTTTGTCTGTATCCTCAGGGTCACCTGAGCGGTGCAAATGGGTGTGGAGCCTTCTTAGCTCCAGGATGTTTTCTGCCTTGGGTCCCTTCACAGTTGAAGACAGGCGCAGGCTGTTGGAGATGAGTCTGTGTTGTCTGCCTCTCAAACTGAAGCGTAAATGGTTCCTGTAGTCTGCAATGTTTTCTGGAAATCCAGTTCATCTGCACCATTCGAAGGGAGTTCATCCCAAAGTGCATAGCTATAGGTCTATGGAGATTTTGAGGAAATTCAAAGAAAAACAAGAAAGTGCAGTTGCCTCCTGAAAAAGCACCTGTGGGACAACCAGGACCAAGAATCCCCATGGACATTCATTCCTATGCTGAGTTGAACTTAGATTCTATGGTCTGAAAGTGATGAAGACAGGGCAGAAGTGAGAATTGTTCGTGGAGGAACTGGCACATATTCAGAGATCCAAAGTGTTTTTCCTCTCCGCTTCCTGCAGAACAACCTGGTGATCGACACGCCCCGCGTCCGCAAGCAAACTCGACACTTCAGCACCCTGAAGGACGATGACTTGGTTGAGTTCTCTGACTTGGAGAGCGACGACGATGACCGGCCGCGCTCCCGGCGCCACGACCGGCACCACCACCCCCTCCACCACTCGTACGGGCGCACCGACTGCTTCCAGGTGGAGAAACAACTGCTAGTCTATGGGTATGTGGCGTGGAGGGAGGCCTGACGAAAAGAAATGGGGCGCGTGCAAAAAAAAAAAGGATTGCGGGAGTTGTAGGGGAGGATACATGTTTGTTTGTTTGTTTGTTTATTTATTTATTTATTTATGAGACTTATATACCGCTTTAAGTGCAAGCACTCTCTAAGCGGTGTACACCAGTAAGCAATGTATATATATATATATTTACATTGCCCCCAACAATTTGGGTCCTCATTTTACCTACCTCGGAAGGATGGAAGGCTGAGTCAACCTTGAGCCGGTGAGATTTGAACCGCTGACCTGCTGAACACAGTCAGCTAAAGTGGCCTGCAGTACTGCACCCTAACTGCTGCGCCACCTCGGCTCAGTGGTGTTGGGAAGGAGGGGGTAACTTGATAGCTTATTGAGAGTTCGTTAAGGAGAGAAAGTCATGGTGGATTGGCTTCTTCGTAGTACAGGTAATCCTCAACTTACAATTACAATTGAGCCCTTTTTATTTTTTATTTTTTTTATTATTATTTTTGTTGTTGTTGCTACTGTGTTTCCCCGAAAATAAGACCGGGTCTTGTCCTTTTTTTTTTTTTTTTGGCCTCCAAAAGAGGCACCAGGTCTTATTTTCGGGGTAGGCCTCCCCTCACCTCCGGCACTGACAGCCCCACCCAGCCAGTCCACTTCTTCTGGGGTCGAAGTTCTGCAGCTGCATTCGGGTCTGCATTTTGCAGTCAGGCCATTCCAGAAGGCCTAAGCAGCTGAGTACCGAGCTATGGATTCAATCCATAGCTTGGTGCTTGGCTGCTGAGGTCTTCTACGGATTGAATCTATAGTTCAGTTTTGGCTGCACAGGCCTTCCAGAAAGCCCCGTGACTGAGAAATGCAGGCCTGGCTGCAGAAGAGGCCTCAGAAGAAGAAGTGGGCTGGCAAGGAGAGGCCTGACTACAAGGGAAGTGGGTGAGGCAGCTCCACATCCTCACCCCTGCCCTAGCTTGATTTTTAGGTGTGTGCCTCGTGCCAAAACTAGGGCTTATTTTGGGGGTAGGCGTATATTAGGCCCACTGCCAAAAATCAAGCTAGGGCTTATTATTGGTGTAGGCCAGGGGTAGGCAACCTTGGCTCTTTTATGACTCATGGAGTTCAACTCCCAGAATTCCTAAGCCAGCATGGCTTTCTTGGAAACCTCTCCCTTTCCCCTCAGCATGGCTGACTCAGGAATTCTGGGAGTTGAAATCCACCAGTCATAAAAGAGCCAAGGTTGCCTACCCCTGGTGTAGGCCTTACTTTCAGGGAAACTGGTAGGTGAAGCATCTGTTAAGTGAATTTTGCCCCTTTTTACGCCTTTTTTTGTGCCCAGGTTGTTAAGTGAATCTCTGCAACAGTTAAGTTAGTAACATAGTTGTTAAATGAATCTGGCTTCCCCCATTGACTTTGCCGGTCCGAAGGTCACAAAAGGGGATCACAGGACCCCAGGACACACTGTGACCATCACAAAATACGAGTCAGTTGCCAAGCATTTGAATTTTGATTGGGGATGCTGCAATGGTCATAAGTGTGAAAAACGGTCATAAGCCCTCTTTTTTTCAGTGCCGTCATAACTTCAAGCAGTCACTAAACGAATTGTCGTAAGTCGAGGGCTACCTGTGCAGGTTGAGAATTGGCTCGACTCCCAGTTATTTTAATTCCAAATTTAAACTTTAGTTTGATTGAGGCAAGGAACAGTAGCTTTTTCTTGTTTGCCAAAAGGGGGAAAAAAAGAAGAAAAGGAAGCAGGGTAAATAAAATTCTGACACAGAAATACAGAAATAAATTCCCGGTTTACATGTATGTCAGAAGGAATCATCATTCATACTAGCAGGCCTAAACTTAAGAACCGTTCATTTAGTGACCGCTCGAAGTTACAGCGGTGCTGAAACAAAGGACTTAATGACCATCTTTCACACTTAATGACCGTGTAGCAATCCCCATGGTCACATGATCAAAATTTAGACGCTTGACCGCTGATTCAATTTATGACAGTTGCGGTGTCCCGGGGTCGTGTGTGACCCCCTTTTGCGACCTCCTGACAAGGCAAGTCAACGAGGAAGGCGGGTTCACTTCCAAAACATGTTACTAAATTGACTACAGAAGCATCTTCAGACAATGCTGGCTGCCTTGTCTAGGAAACAGAGATGAGCACTGCCCTCTAGAGTCAAACACGACTGGACAAGGGAAACCTTTACCTTTAATGCCGGCTCAGGAATTCTGGGAGTTGAAGTCCACGAGTTAGAAAGCAGCCTAGACCTAGGCCAGAGGTAGGCAACCTTGGCTCTTTTATGACTCGTGGACTTCAACTCCCAGAATTCCTGAGCCAGCCACGCTGAGGGGAAAGGGAGAGGTTTCCAAGCTGAGCCATGCTGGCTCAGGAATTCTGGGAGTTGAAGTCCACGAGTCATAAAAAGAGCCACGGTTGTCTATCCCTGCATTAGACCTAAATCCCCTTGAAGGTGGAGTCTTGTTCTTGCCTCCTTCACTCCCCCCGCCCCCGAGAAGCAAGGGTTCTAGTCCTGTAGATGCAGTTCCTGAAAAAAGAACACCTTGATTTCTGCAGTAGATAGGGCTCCCCATCCTTATTAGCCAGTTCTGAGCAATGTCTCCGTTGGTTTGCCTGGCAGCTGGGGCCGCTGGAGAGAGATCCTCTCGCACGGACGTTTCAAGCGACGGATGTCCGAGCGGGACGTGGAGACCATCTGCCGCGCCATCCTGGTGTATTGCTTGATGCATTATCGGGGCGATGAGAACATCAAAGGATTCATCTGGGATCTCATCAGCCCGGTTGAGAACGGCAAAGCCAAGGAGCTTCAGAATCACTCGGGTAAGTTAGAGGCTCTTTTTATATCCCCCTATATTGATGTCCTTTGAGAATGTTTCCCACACCCTTGTGTCCATTCTGTTGGTAGGAAGACTTTGATCCAATCTTGAGATTGTGGCCACCTAATCCTTTGCATGGGTGGAGAAAATTTAGGGGTGGTGGACCCTGGGGAAATAGAATAATGTTGAGTCCACTTAGTGTCCCTTTGCCTTTGGTGGGCCCTCTAGACAGTCCTTAAGTGGCTCCCTCTGTGTTGTGTGTGTGTGTGTGTGTGTGTGAGTTGAGCTACTCTGCAAAAGCTGGGGTGACCTAATCCCTATTGCACTGGTTCCATGTTGTACCTAGCCCCTGCTCTGAGCTCCCTTCCTGTTCCTCGGGCAGGCCTGTCCATCCCAGTTCCACGGGGCCGCAAGGGGAAGAAAGTCAAGTCCCAGACCACTTTTGATCTCCAGAAAGCAGAATGGATCCACAAGTACAACCCGGACACACTCTTCCAAGACGAAGGCTACAAGAAACATCTCAAGCACCAGTGCAACAAGTAAGATGGGCAGGGGAAGGGGAAGGACCAGCTGGGGACTTCTGTAAAGCCAACCCCTAGACCAGTGGTTCTCAACCTGTGGGTCGGGACCCCATTTGGGGTCGAACGACCATTTCACGGGGGTCGCCAAACAACGCAGTCCGCCATTTTTTTCCCCTTTTCTTTAGCTGTGCTACTCCCTTTTATTCTATTGGTTTTTGAAAGCCAATAGAATAGACTCTCTTGAATAGAGTCTAATTCTATTGGCTTTCAAAAACCAATAGGAATTGTCCAGGCTGTCTCTGCCCTGCTGAGCCCGCAATAAGTCCCATTCTGCAAACGGTGCTGCACCAGTTGAGTAGTCCTCGACTTACGACCGGTTGAGTAGTCCTCGACTTACGACTGGTTGGGGGTCGCAGCATTAAAAAGGTTGAGAACCACTGCCCTAGATTTCAATCTTTTGCCAGGCAGAAAAGGTGGGAGATCCAATATGGTAGACAAATAGTGCCAGATCCCAACCTCATTCTTCAGAATTCCGGGTTTGGTATCGAAGAGGTCATGTGGGTGGTCTGAAAAATAATTGCATGGTAGTGCTGTCCACATATCCATTAATCCATATCTATCTATCTATCTGTCTGTCTGTCTATCTGTCTGTCTATCTCTATCTATCTATCTATCTATCTATCTATCTATCTATCTATCTATCTTATTTTCTATCCCACCTTTATTATTTATACATAACTCAAGGCCACAAACTTACATAATATTCCTTCTTCTCCTTTTTTTCCCCACAACAACAACAACTGTGAGGTACGTTGTGCTGAGAGAGGGTGACTGGCCCAAGCTCACCCAGCTGGCTTTCATGCCTAAGGTGGGACTAGAACTCACCATCTCCTGGTCCTTGGCCCCAAGTCATCTAGACGCTTTCACACCTACAATGGGACTAGAACGCCCAGTTTCCTGGTGCCAGCCAGCTTTTGTTCCTAAGATGGGAGTGGAACTCCCAGCCTCCTGGTTGCTAGGCCACCACCTTCACAACTACACCAAGCTGGCCTTTCAGTTCATGCCTTTCTGTCTGCCAAAAAGGATGGCAAGCTCGGGCAGATGAGGGCTCTTTGGTGCTTTCACATGGACACGCCTCTATTGGTTGAAAAAAAAAAAGTTTGCCCTCGTCCCTGACTTAGCAGTGGGGATAGCCAGTGTCTTGGAACATGGGTGGATGCAGTTTATCAGTTGGTCCTCCCAACAGAACAACGTTATTTTCTTCCCAGGGTGCTGCTCAGGGTCCGCATGCTGTATTACCTGCGTCAGGAGGTGATTGGGGACCAGGCCGAGAAAGTTTTGGCAGGTGCTGTTTCCAGGTAAAAAAATTCACCTTTACAAAGGGGTTCTGATGTAGTGCCTCCGGATGCTTCTCATCCCATAACATGGCATGCCATCCCGTCTGCATGTCATGACCTTCCAGTTTTAATAATCTCCGATTTTCCAGTCAAAACCAATCCCGCACCCACAGTAGAATTGTAGATTGATAGTATTTTTCCAGATCGGGGAGGCCGAGACCCCCCCCCTTTCCTTAACATCCTGTAATAATTTTAATTTAATCCTTGGTTTTTTTCCCTTGCCAAATGAATTTAAGTATGGTTTGGTTGAAATTTCGAAAGAATTCTTTTTCTAATCTAACTGGTATACATTGAAATAGAAATAATATTTTAGGTAATATGTTCATTTTAATTACAGCAATTCTACCCATGAAAGAAAGCTGGAGATTTGTCCAGGTGTCCAAGTCTGTTTTAATCTGATCCATTAATTTATCATAATTGTCTCTTTTAATTGTTACACACCTAGCTGTTAGATGTATCCCTAAGTATCTTATTTTCTTTGTGATCTGAATACCTAATTTATCAGCTAGTTCGTTTTTCTGTGATCTAATCATATCCTTCACAAGTATTTTGGTTTTTTTCCTTATTTACCTTTAGGCCTGCCATTTCACCATATTCACCCAGTATTTCCATTAACCTTTACAAAGGGGTTCTGTGTGCTTTTGCCAATTACTGATGAGCCACCTTTTGTTTCTGTATGACGGCTTTGCAATTATAACAAATTGACGAGTTTAGTTGGGATGGGAAGCAGTCACTGGCTCAGTGGATTTCATGATGGAAACCTTTTACTTTATGGGTGTGTTTCTTTGATTTCTTGTTTAAGAAGAGATCGGACAAGCATTTGTATAGGGTTTCCTGTTTGAGCAGGGGGTTGGACTAGAAGACCTCCAAGGTCCCTTTCAACTCTGTCATTCTGTTCTGATTTTTTTAAGGCTGCCCACCCACCCGATCACTTTTCTTATGATGAGCAATCCTGGCATTTCCTTAGCAAGTTCTGCGATCATTTATTTCTTTATTAAATGTATTTACTTCTCCAACTCAGTCATTTGGTTAAGAGAGATTTTGTCGCTGGCAAAAGAGTCTCTCTTATTCTTTTTCTGTTGCAAATGAATTATTGTGGTGTATCTAAGGGCAATCCACTCTATGCTATGGGTAAGGCTATCAAATCAGAGCCCGAAGTTTGAAAAGTTTGATTGGTTCCTGTTTAATACCTCACAACACCTTGTGTGTCTCATTTTGTTTCTGTTTCCAATCTTAATTCCTGCAGCGAAATTGACATCTGGTTTCCGCTCGTGGATCAGGCAGAAGTCCCCACAGCCTGGTGGGATACGGAAGCAGACAAATCTTTGCTTCTTGGGGTCTTCAAACATGGTGAGTAATACTTCTGGACAGGTGCGGCCCTTGTTTCGCACTGAGGAACGGGCAAACTGTCAGGCCCAAAACCAGAGATGAGGCAGATCCAGTCAAATTCAGTCCTTTATTTGCTTATACCTAATTGACAGATTCCTGAACAACTGTAACGAAACAGATCATAAAATGGGTGTGACGCCTTTTTTAGCCGTGGAAATTCTAGTTCCTGTTGTGGTCATAAATCAAGCACTACTTATAAATTATTGGTGGAGAGAAGCCATCAAATCTAAATTATACTAAATCTAAATTAAGTAATCTAGAGGACTTTAAAAAACAAAACAAAAAAAAACAGCCTGCCAGTAAATGAACTAGAACAGTGTTTCTCAACCTTGACAATTTTAAGGCATGTGGACTTCAGCTCCCAGAATTCCACAGCCAGCAATGCTGGCTGTGGAATTCTGGGAGTTGAAGTCCACATGCCTTAAAATTGTCAAGGTTGAGAAACACTGAACTAGAAGAACGTTTTGCACCTCCAAAGCATGCACTTGCTGATCATAGCTAGAGTGTAGAAGATAATCAGAGACACGCAAGAAGAATTTTGCACAAAAGGCAAACATTTTCGGACAAAAATGATATTAAAACATTGGCCAAGAGTAGACTGAAGATTCCTGGGCTGGGAGCTCTAGAATCTGAATCTCATCAAGTGGCGGCATCTGACCAACTTTAGGCCTGAAAACGAAGTGAAACCGGACCTCATTATTCTTGAATCGGTGATCTCTAAGGAATCCCAGGGCTAGAGGCTTAACTGGGAAGTTGACTTTATATTCTAACCCAGTGATGGCGAACTTTTTAGAGACCGAGTGCCCAAACTGCAACCCAAAACCCACTTATGCATCATCGGGTGCCAGGTGGGTGTGGCCCATTGGGTGGGCGTGGCTGCCGCGGTAACGGCAGACTGGATGGGACTAAAACGTTCAATCAATCAGTTCCAACTTTGCGAGATCTTTTTTTTTCCCCGCGAGAAGTTGAAATTGACTGATTGAACCTTTTTTTTTTTTTTGTACACGACGGTGGAGGCTAAAGCAAAAAGGTTTTATAAAACCCAGCTGAAGGCCTAGGACTGGGGCGACGGCGCGCGTGCCCACAGAGAGGGCTCTGAGTGCCGCTTCTGGCACCCGTGCCCTAGGTTCGCCACCACTGTTCTAACCTCTGCCTAAGGTTACATGGGGAAGCACTGATGTTTGGCCCTTCCTACAGGCTACGAGAAGTACAACACCATGCGAGCCGACCCTGCGCTCTGTTTCCTGGAGAAAGCCGGCCGCCCGGATGATAAGGCCATTGCTGCCGAGCACCGTCCGGATGTGGGCGAGGGGTAAGAGGCTGCTGGGGTTGAGCTGAGCCATTCCCAAGGCCAGGGGACACCGGGTAGATGGGAGTGGTGGGTGAGACGCACACCCATGATGACATGCCATGCTAATACCGAGGCACCGAGGGGGGTCAGCTGGCCCTCAACTCGGGTGTCTTTGAGTTCAACTTGCTTCTCACAGGAAGTCCTGAGGTGTGTCTGGAAAGGGGTGGGAAAGAAGCGGGATTTCCACAGCAATAATTGACTAGATCTTCTGCCACTGGCAGGGTGGATTTTGACAAGGACTGCGAGGATCCAGAATACAAGCCTGTCGGAGCCCCTGCCAAGGAACACGACGAAGAGGTGGGATCCTAAACCAGTTGCACTGTCAATGCAGCCCATCACTGGCATCCTTAAAAACCGGAACCCGAGATGTTTTAAATCTACGGCCGTTCAAATCTCACAGATGGCTTCTGCTCCTTGTTTTTATTTATTTATTAAAATCTAACACCAGCCCAATCCCACCGACCCCTATTTAGAAAGAAATCCTTTTCTCTTACCGTTTCTTGGAGCCGCAACCTGCCGTTGTCAAGGAGGTGCCTTGGAACACGTGAGGGGGAATCTGTGGTCCTTCCGTTGGAGCTGAAATACCCTTCCCAGCATCCTTTGCCAATAAGACTGACAGGGAGGCACGCTGGGAATGGTAGTTCAGCGATCTGTGGATATGCCCAGATTCCCGCCAGTCTAATGTAGAGGTCTGAACATTAAGAATATGGTTCAGGAACTCAAAGGTGCTTTTTCAAAAGGCAACTGGACTGTTTGTTTGTTTTTTTCCCCTGAGGAAGGAAAAAAGAAGAAGAAGTTTTGCTTCTCATCCAAGAAGCTTCATCGGTTCTGGCAGGATGGTTGGGGAGATGGAAGGATTAGTTCTTACAGGATTGGGGGGGGGCCTGTTGGAAGATACATATTTCTTTGAAGTTATCTGGTCAATCCTTCCCACCCCCATCCTATCAGAATTAATCCTTCCATGTCCCCCAACATCCTGCTAGAACCATCTTTTTCTTCTTGCTCCTGGGGGGGGGGCGAAGGGGAGAGAGACCCAGTCCAGTTACCTTTTGAAAAAGCACCTTAGAAACAGCTATGGCCTGGATGACTTAGAACAGTGATGGCGAACCTTTTAGAGACCGAGTGCCCAAACTTCAACCCCAAACCCACTTATTTATTGCCAGGTGGGCATGGCTGTGGTGGTCATGGCAGATTGGGTGGGTGTGGCCAAGGTGGGCATGGTCACCTCAATGTTGCTCGTGGGGAGGGACGCCTGTGGGGGTGGGCAGGGTTGGGGGAGATCCAGAGAGTCTCTGGTAGGTAGGGCGGTAGGCAGGAGGCTCGTCCTGAGGGATGAGGCACAGCAGGGCGGGAGTGCCATTGCCATGGGGCAAGGCAAGGGGTGGCTGCTGCCTGACACCATCAGACCCCACACACAGAGGCCAGCGAGCGCATGGGGGCCGACAGTGTCCGTCAGCAGCCACAGCCTGCCGGCCCCTTGACCGGTGCGCTCTGGAGCTCTGCCGCCCACCGCCAGCAGTTCAAAGAAGCCGCCTCTGAGATGGATGGCCAGCCAACAGCGGAGGCGATGCAGTGGGTCGTGACCGGGAAAAGGAGAGATGCAAGGCCAGGAGGGACAGGATGGGGGGAGGGAAACCAGCCATGCCGGGATGCATCCAGCCACGTGGGACCTTGGCTAGTTAGCAGGCGGCTGGTTGAAGAGGGACAGTTGCCATCTCCGAGACATGGCGCGTGTACCCACAGAGAGGGCTCTGAGTGCCGTCTCTGGCACGCGTGCCATAGGTTCGCCACCACTGACTTAGAATCTCCGAAAACATTCTTCGGGATGAATTAAACTGCAAGCAGATGTACCAAACAAGGAGAAAGGAGCTTGTAAGCTACCTGGGGGCCCATTTGCACCTTGCTTCCTCATTTCACCTTACCCATCCTTCTTGGGTGCCAGAGAGAAGTCTTAAGGGCAAAAAAGGCTGTTTCATGTCTGGCAAAGCAAAACTAATAGGAACAATATTTTCTCTTTGGGATGAGTTTATGGAGAAACATGGGGGGGAAACAGTTGAAAACTTCCAGCTGCTTCCAGGTTTTCACCAGCCGGATCCTGTTTCCACAAGTAAAGCAAGCTTGTGACTCCTAGGCCAAAATCCATCAACCCCGACTATAGTCAGTTGGGGCAAGCCACTTTAATAGCCCTGATCTTTCCATTCCAGGGTGAAGCACTAATGATGATGGATGAAGACATATCGGTGGTGGATGGGGAGGAAGGTAATTACTTACTGTCTGAAAGGGCTTGGTGAAGGAGGTGGTGGCAGTTGAGCTTCATAAGCATCTCAACCTTGGGAAGAAGGTAAAGTGGAGGCCTGGAGGATGCCAGAGTCACATGGCCATCCCTGCCCTCATTCTCTAGGTCAGCCAGGGAATCTCTTCTGGCCTCCAGCCTCTGCACTCACAGCCCGTTTGCGGCGACTAATCACGGCCTTCCAGCGGAGCTACAAGCGTGAGCAACTGAAGATGGAGGCCGCGGAGCGGGGGGATCGGCGTCGCCGGCGTTGCGAGGCCGCCTTCAAGCTGAAGGAGATGGTGCGTCGGGAGAAGCAGCAGAGGTAATCTTTGGGACCTGCTTTGTAGCCTTCTCTTTTCCCCTTGTCTTTGGAGAAGCCGGTTAAGGAGGGGTACTTGAACCTGCGACTGAGTTCAAGTCCTCATAAAGAATCAAGTTCATATGTTAAAGTTGTAGTTAAGAAGATGTATCTCTCAAGCCCATACAAAAGAATCTAGTCAACTAAAGTTCAGTACTGAATTAGTGCCAGATCAGGATCCACAGAATTCAAGAAGAGTTAGAATTGGACCATTTGTGGGAACGTACTGATTCTAGGCTGATGACTCGCTTAACGCCACCCCCAGCTCTGCCTGCTCTTCTCCTACATCAGACATGTCAAACACAAGGCCCGGGGGCCAGATGCGGCCCGCAAAGTGGTTTCATGTGGCCCGTGAAGCCATCCTGGAAACAGTGAGGGAACAGCCCCTGCTGCCATGGCCCTGGCCTAGGCCGGCCGGGAGCCAATGTACAATTTTGTGGTGGCCATCTATGCTGAAATGCATTCAGTCTTAGCTCCACAAGGCCGTCCAGAAACAGCCCCTGCTGCGTTGGCCCCACCCCTGGGTGCATGCTGGGGAGGTGTCACCCTTTGTGAGGAATGAAGAAATGCACCATGCCTTGGCGCTTGCCCCGGTCCCTCCCCCTTCTGCCAGAGACCCTCAGATCTGTCCCACTCCTGCCCAGGCTCCCACAGGCACCCTTGACGCGAACGATGTAGAGCTGGCCATGCCCACCCACTAGGCCACACCCACTCCATCCAACGCCACCCAGTAGGCCGCACCCACCCTGGCCACACCCACCAGGCCCCCCAACGGCAACCACAATGCTGATGCGGCCCTCAATGAAATTGAGTTTGACACCCCTGTCCTACATCATCAGTTCATGGAGTGGTTGAGCCACCTGTTGAGTCAGTTGCCTTGTCTTAATCCAAGCCAGCTATGTCATTGTAGAGAGAAAAGGTAAGAAGAAGAAGTGGAAGCTCCCCGTCCCCAATTTTGTCTACTTAGGGCATTTTAGAGAAAAGGCAGACAATTCTTTCAGTCGATCAGCAGTGGGCAAGAGCGCGTGGCCCACTGGTTCAGTATGCAGTGAGGGAGTTCAATGATCATTTGTATCCAAAGGTGGACACGCCGTGAACAGTCGGATTTCTATCGCGTGGTTTCCACATTTGGAGTGGAGTATGATCCAGACACGATGCGGTTTCATTGGAGTCGGTTTCGGATCCTTGCCCGCTTGGACAAGAAGACTGATGAGAGCCTAGCCAAGTATTTTCACGGTTTTGTAGCCATGTGTCGACAGGTTTGCCGTCTTCCTCCTGCTGCAAGTGATGGTGAGTAGCAGAGCCTGGATGGGTAGAATCTCTTTAGGATGCCTGAGCACTGGGTTCGGATTAGCAATCTCTGGTCTGCATTCCTTGAGTCCTCAGTTGGTACAATTGCTGAAAATCCAGACCTACGGTCAGACCTAGGAAGAATTGCGAATGAGATAGACGGCGCCAGTTGGGTGCCACAATTTTGGGGAATACCAGGTTGTTGTTTTTTCAAGAAGTTTTAAAAAAAACAACCCTTGAATTGAACAATATTCCACTGATTTGATGGACTTGTCCATATCGTTCTATGGTAAAGTAAGTTTTCGTTTCTGATGTTTTTGCAGTCAGCCAAGGTTGGCCTAACGTGCCATTTGCATTAGGCAGAAAGCTTTTTACATTCATTTTATTGATTAAGGCCGTGCAGATTTTGAAAAGAACTTTTTTTTTTAAAGAAAATGGTTCAGGTATCACATGAATGTGCATTCAGCACTTTTTTGCCCTGTATTAAAATATTTCACTTTTCTCTATAGCAGGGCTTTTCAACCAGTGGTACGGGTACCACCTGTGGTACATTGGCACCTGGCAGGTGGTACGCGGCCATCCTAGAAAAGTGGTAGCAGGGGAGGGGAATGAGCTGAAACGGTGGCAGCACCACACAAGCCTGAGCGAGAGATGGCTGGAGCTGCAGGGCTGTCAGGGCTCAGCGGAAGCGCCAGGATCAGCGCCAGGCTCCAGCTGGAACTCGGCGCTGATCCTGGCGCTTCTGCTGAGCCCAGAAGAAGCGCCGATCAGCTGGAATGTTGCAGCCTCTCTAGGGTCTTGTGATTTACATTCAGATGCTTGGCAACCGATTCATATTTATGACGGTCACAGTGTCCCAGGGTCATGTGAAGTGACCAAAACCTGCTGCAACCACCCAGCAGACGGGAGGAATAAAAACCAAACACCCCCCCCCCACTGCCAATCCTCAACAGAAATGCTCACAGCAATGAAAACCTCGGACAGGAAGAAGAGCACCGCCGGGTGGGCAGGCAGGTGTCTTGCTCAGCTGTGGCTTGGGGGGCACTTTTTTCAGTGCCATTGTAACTTCAAACAGTCACTAAGTGAACTGTTGTAAGTTGAGGACTACCTGTACTTCATCAGTTTTTTCCTTTTTTTTTTTTTTTTTGGTCATCAAGTTTTTGACACCTTGCTAGGCAACTGGTGGTACTCGGATGATGCCATATCCTAAAAGTGGTACAATGGGTGAAAAGGTTGAAAAGCCCTGCTCTATAGCTTCTGCATGAGCCTGAGAAACAATTAGAAACCATTCATTAAAGTTAATGCAACTTTAAAAGCAGTTACAATTTTTTGGGGGAGGTTCAGACTGAAGCTTGAAAAGAGAGAGATCGCTTTCATCAACAGGAGCGATAGACTATATCAGGGGTTCCCAACTGGGGGTGCAAGACGCTATTCCAGAAGGTGCAAAAACTTGGCTTTAGAAGTTTCAAAATTATAGTGTGCATGCATAATTCGTTATTTTGAACTCTTGTAAGGGGGGAGGGAATATATCAGAAGCGTTCTAGGGGTGCAGGCTATAGAAAAGGTTGGGAGCCGCTGCACTATATACTCTTGTGACTTCCCAAGTACCGTATTTTCCGGCATATAAGACGACTTTCTAAAGCGCGGAAATCGGCGCCGAAGTCAGGGGTCATTTTATACGCTGAGTCGTCTTATACGCCGGAAATTACAGTGGTTTCCGGCAGGTAAGACGACTTTCTAGGCATGGAAATCGGCGCCGAAGTCGGGGGTCGTCTTATACGCCGGGTCGCCTTATATGCCAAAAAATACAGTACTTCTTCTAAATTGTTTCAGAAGACTGAGAAAGGAATGGAGAAAAACACGGACATGAACAATCAAGAGACAGCAAAGTCGATTGACAGTTTTTCTAAAAGGGGGCAATTTAGTCCAGGTAGAGAAAACTCCTGAAAGAAGCTTTTCAAAGCATGCAAAAAGACTTTTGCCCTGTTTAACTCACTTTAAATGAGGCTGGGAAGTGACTCTTACAGATTCCAAGATTTTCTCTCTGTATATACTGCTCTTGAATTAAATCGTTCCCATTTTTTTACATTTCACTTTAAAAAAAAAAAAGGCAATAAACTGTCCAGTGGTATTGTTTGGGACTCTTGTGAGTCTTGTCCAAGATCCTTGGAGGTCAATGGGACTGAATCAGGATTTATCATTCTGATCATATTGGAGATGTGAACGAATCTCTGAAAGTAAGCCATAAGGCAGCAGTCTTTCTGGCCTGGCAGAGGTTACACACACACAGGTGCTGCTTTCATAAATGCAGTGTTGTGCGCATAGGTGTGCTTGCCTCCACCACTTCCGCGGCCCGGTTCCAAACGGGCTGCAGCCTGGCACTGGGTCATGGATTGGGTGCTGAGGACCCCTGCCATAAATCAGTGCTTCTCAAGCTCAGCCACTTTAATATGGGTGAACTTTAGCTTCCAGAATTCTGGAGGTTTACTAGAATTAAAGTCTACATGTCTTAACGTTGCTAAAATTGAGAAACAGTGCTATAAGGGCTTCAGGCAGTGGGCTGGGAGGGACGGGGTGGAATAGAAGAGAAACAACGTAGGAAAAGAGCGCGAAACGGGAAGATTTCCAGCTTCACCACGTTTTCCCTTCTTCTCCAGAGTCTCCAGACCCCACCCTGTTCATCGAACCCATCACGGAAGAGCGGGCCTCCCGCACCCTGTACCGCATCGATCTCCTGCGCCGTCTGCGGGAGCAAGTGCTGTGCCATCCCCTCCTGGAGGAGCGCCTCGCCCTGTGCCAACCCCCTGGCCCTGAAATGCCACTGTGGTGGCAGTGCGGGCGCCACGACGGAGAGCTGCTGCGGGGAGTGGCCCGCCATGGTCTTAGCCAGACTGACACCACCATCATGCAAGACCCAGACTTTTCTTTCCTGGCGGCTCGCCTCAGCCACCTGCACAGTCGGGCCGGGGGCACAGGGACACCCCCTCTCCCGCCCCCGGTGCCAGCCCAGCCTGCAGGGCTACCCCTTCCGGGGGTCAGCACGGCGGCTGCTCCGTCCCCCCTGCTCCTCGCTCCACCTTTGAATGAGCCACCTGCTCCGCAACAGCCCCTCGCCTTGCCCCCCAAACCTGAATCGGCCGAGGACTCCGACTCCGAACTTGACCTCAGCAAGATTTCTGCTTCATCGTCGTGTTCGTCCTCCTCGGGCTGCTCTGATGACAGTGAGGGTGAGCTGTTTTTTTTTTTTTAAGATGTCCCTTCTTTCCCGTTCGTATCCTGAGGGGAAAATGGCCCAGGCCTTCCTTGCGTTTTTAAAAATCAAGACGCGATTGGTCCTAGAACAGTGTTTCTCAACCTTGACAATTTGAAGGCATGTGGATTTCAACTCCCAGAATTCCACAGCCAGCATTGCTGGCTGTGGAATTCTGGGAGTTGAAGTCCACATGCCTTCAAATTGTCAAGGTTGAGAAACACTGCCCTAGAAAAACCGCCTTTCTACTAAAAATGAGAAATTTCTGTTAGTGGAAAAGTTCTTTTTTTTTTATCTTGCCTTTTTACAGGAGCAATGGATCTCAAAAAAATCCAAAAGATGATATTTTGCACCCTCTTCTAGGGAATTCAGGAGAATTCTCCTCCTCCCCAATTCATAATAATCCAATAAATTAGCTTAAACCTAGGAGAAATTATCCTGACAGAGGCATATCACGGAACCAAACCCCAATTTATTTGTCGCTAATACCTACGTGTTTCCTTTTGTAGCTTGGGGTGTGTTATCAAAGTGGAGTAATGGCTGAATGAGTGTATCTGTAGCCTGTCTCATTTGTGCATTTATTTAGTCGTGACTCTACCATTTCTGGATCAATCTGCAATTCTCTTCTATTAAAGCCTGTATTTATTGTTGTACCTGACACGCTCTAATGCAGTCTTTTAAAAAAGACAGCATTCCATGTTACATACTTTTTGCCACTCAACTTTATTAATAGCCATTTCTGTCCCTTATTTCTCCAGTAACGGGACTCGTAAACAGCACGCTTGGAGATTTTCAGCTGGCCCTCCTGCCAAGCATTGAATCAATGCAGCATGGATTGACTTTAGCAAAAGGGTGTACATGAGCTTGCTTAGAAGCCACATATGTACACACACACACCCCAAAAACATCCCCTTTGGGCACTTTTAGTATTGGGATGGTGTTATGTAATCTGCCCACCCAGGTCCTTCTCTTCGGGGCCCTCCTGTCAACATCCAGCTCAAAAATCCAAATAAATCACCAGAAACATTCCGGTTCTGGAATTATTTTTGTTTATTGGATATACGGCATAGTATATCGAAGCCAAATTCACTCTGGGGTTCCCAGCCGCAAATCAAAGAATTAAACAACAGTCTCATCGTCCAAGCCCCCGCCCTTTCCCATAGTCGCTGTAAACAATTTCCCTTTGTTACGGGAACCGTCTGCTTTTCTTCCACACCTGCTTTAGTGTCCTTGGAAATGACTCAGGCTCTTCACAGTAATTTCAGCAGAATCAACAAAGTTTCATTTCTTCATCTTAAACCAGGAGTGTCAAACTGCCGGCCCGTGGGCCGGGTGCATCATAGCAAAACCGCGCCCACCCCATTGCCGGCAATGGCAAAAAAAGTTGCGACATGTCACATGACCTTGCGAGTTTGACACCCCTGATCTAAACCCTTTCAAAGCAACACCTCCCCCCCCAACTCTTAATGGCAAGAAGAAACAAAGAGGCAGGTAGCTGCCGAAGTTCCATTCTTGACCCCTCCTCATCTGGAGCAGACTCTCTTCTCTTTCCGTCGCAAATCCCTTCCTACCTTCTCGTCGTTGTCTTCCTGCCAGGTGAAGAGGCTTCTTGTGGCGGGAAGCTCTTTGAGGAGGAGGACTCCTCACTGCTGTCTCTGCCCACCTCCCACGAGGGGAACTCGCCGCAGCCTAGTGCCTCGGATCTGCTGCTGCAGGAGCGCCAAAGGGCCCACGAGTGGCCAAAGGTAACGGGCGAGCCCGAGAAGGCAGGGATACTGCCGGAGTTGCATGTTGCACTAAGGCCAGGGCTTTTCAGCCAGTGGTACGGGTACCACCTGTGGTACATTGGCACCTGGCAGGTGGTACGCGACCATCCTAGAAAAGTGGTAGCAGGGGAGGGGAATGAGCTGAACCGGTGGCAGCACCGCACAAGCCTGAGCGAGAGATGGCTGGAGCTGCAGGGCTGCCAGGGCTCAGCGGAAGCGCCAGGCTACAGCTGGAGCTCGCCGCTCATCCTGGTACTTCTGCTGAGCCCAGAAGAAGCGCCAATCTGCTGGAATGTTGCTGCATCTCCAGGCTCTTGTGATTTACATTCAGATGCTTGGCAACCGATTCATATTTATGACGGTCACAGTGTCCCAGGGTCATGTGAAGTGACCAAAACCTGCTGCAGCCACCCAGCAGACAGAGGGGGAATAAAAACCAAACACCCCCCACTCCACCGCCGCTGCCAATCCTCAAAAGAAATGCTCACAACAATGGAAACCTCGGACAGGAGGAAGAGCGCCGCTGGGCGGGCAGGCAGGTGTCTTGCTCGGCTGTGGCTTGGGGGGGCACTTTTTTCAGTGCCATTGTAACTTCGAACAGTCATTAAGCGAACTGTTGTAAGTCGAGGACTACCTGTACTTTTATCACTTTTTTTCCTTTTGGGGGGGGTCATCACGTTTTTTGACACCTTGCTAGGGGACTGGTGGTACTCGGATGTTGCCATATCCTAAAAGTGGTACAATGGGTGAAAAGGTTGAAAAGCCCTGCACTAAGGGGCATATTCTTCCATTTCCGACCCTGAGTGGGCTTTGCTTTCCTCAATTCCATACGATTCAGAGGAAATAATTTCGTAGGAATGTTTACCCTGGCCAATAATTCCTTTACAGGTAGTCCCCGACTTAACGACTGTAATGGAACCCACATTTTTTTGTTGCTAAGTGAGACATTTGATAAGTGAGTCTTGCCCCCCCCTCCTTTACCACATTCCCTCGCCACAGTTGTTAAGTGAATCACTGCAGTTGTTAGTCACAAGGGTGGTTGAGTGAATCTGGTTTCCCCATTGGTCAGAAGGTCGCACAAGGGGATCCCTTGAATCCCTGGGACACTACAATGGTCATAAATGCGAGCCAGTTGCCAAACGTCTGAATTTTGATCACATGACCATGTGGATGCTGTGAAAAACGGTCACAAGTCACTTTTTTCAATGCCGTTGTAACTTTGAACGGTTACTAAAAGAACGGTTATAAGTCGAGAACTACCTGTATTTGTCCCTGCTCTGCTTCTGACTACAGCTTGAATTCTTGGGAGTTTCCATCAAAATCCTTCTCTCACGTATCTAAGCAGCCATTAGAAATTCTTTTTTTTTTTTTTAAATAGCATACCTCCGCAATGGAATGCTTGATATATTGTGGCTTTTTTGAGACCATGAAATTTCCCCCTCGCCATTTAAACAGGGATTAACCCGATTTATTTGGTTTGCGCATACCTAGAAATGATGCAGAAGTGCTTTAGACCTCATACTCCTCTTTAAAGCAGCCACCTTCTTTTTCAGATGTCTCTGTCAGTCTGAGAAATAGACACAGTTACTTTAAGAGGCACCTTGAGTAAGTCAATTCCTTCACTCAAGCAGTAGCATCTCTTTACAGACTGGAAAAATATATATGGCTGTTTTAGTGAATGTCAAAGAAGAGCTGTGTTCAAAGTTTTGAAGCACTTCTAAATAATTTTGTGAAGAATGAGCAATTATTGTGCTTCACGCTCATAAATTAAACAATAAAACTCTATATATTCTCCTCTGCCTTGGAGATATTTCATATTTGAAAGGTAGCTTATTAAAGCGATTGCATTTAAAAATAATTTTGGGGGGGGTGTTACCATTTTTCGTGAGTTACTTTGTATTTTGTGAGGTCTTTCAACTTCGAAAAATCTCTGGAGAGATTGCCAATTTCATGAGAGCATGGTAATTTTTTAATTAGGGGCGGGGGGAGGAACCTTACTCAATGAGAGTGCTTAGAGCAGGCATGTCAAACTGCCAGCCCACGGGCCGGGTGCATCACACCGAAACCGCACCCATCCCATTGCCAGCAATGGGGGAAAAGTCGCAATGGGTCGCGCGACATCACGTGACGTCGTGGGTTTTAGAGGGTACAGTCCATGGTATACATAACTTAGTCTTTCTGACAGAAAAAGCATGAAGAATCGTAGTGGTGCAGTGGTTAGAATGCAGTATTACAAGCTAATTCTACTGCCTGCCAGCAGTTTGAACCCGCCCTCCTCAAGGTTAACTCAGCCTTCCCTCTTTCCGAGGTTGGTAAAGTGAGGACCCAGATTATTGGGGGCAAGATGGTGACTCTGTAAACCACTCAGAGAGGGCTGTCAAGTACTATGAAGTGGTATATACTCTTAAGTCTAAAACAGTGGTTCTCAACCTTTTTAATGCCGCGACCCCCCCCAACCGGTCGTAAGTCGAGGACTACTCAACCGGTCATAAGTTGAGGACTACTCAACTGGTGCAGCACCGTTTGCAGAATGGGACTTTTGGCGGGCTCAGCAGGGCAGAGACAGCCTGGACAATTCCTATTGGCTTTTGAAAGCCAATAGAATTAGACTCTATTCAAGAGAGTCTATTCTATTGGCTTTCAAAAGCCAATAGAATAAAAGGGAGTAGCACAGCTAAGGAAAAGGGGGGGAAAAATGGCGGACTGCGTTGTTTGGCGACCCCCGTGAAATGGTCGTTCGACCCCAAATGGGGTCCCGACCCACAGGTGGAGAACCGCTGGTCTAAGGGCTGTTGCTAGTGCTATTGCTATTAAGCGTGGAGTCTTTGGTGCTCTCTGAGTTCGGTTGACTAGCGAGCCTCCTCGAAGCATTAAGCGTTGGAGAGAAGTTGAGAGGTCTTGGAGATGCCCAGTTCCCAAATGGGAAAATGTGGATTGAATTTGAATGGAATCTTGCAGATGTTGGCCTCTTTTGCCCAGACTAGGATCTCTTTCTCTTACTTCTGCAGGACCGTGTCCTCATCAACCGCATCGACTTGGTGTGCCAGGCTGTGCTGTCCGGAAAGTGGCCCTCCCCACAGCAGGGCCAGGTAGTGTCCTGTATTGGCCAGGGAGAAGGCCTGCCCCACTTGCACGGAGAGTACACCACCTCCCCCATCCCTCACATCTGCCCTCTGGCATCACAAGAGGAAGGCACAGCTTCCTTCACCCGCCTCCGACACGGTGGCCAAGAGAAGGAGTTTACCGTGCAGATCAAAGATGTGAGTTCAAGATAGGTGTGGAAGAACAGCATCAATCCCTCCCCCACCTCCGCCGCAGGCCAGGAGCGAGTCCCTGTGCAAACCAAATGGCTGTATCGTAGGAAATGTTGAAAATTGACGAAACTTGAGATTTAGCTACTAAATAAAGCAGTAAAATTGCCAGATTGTTCCCAAATTCCACCCTTAACGTCTTGTCCAGTTCCTCAAGGCCTGGGTGACCCACCCTTTTGTAGGCCAGTTTCAGGTCATTTTGGTGAGAATCACAAGAGTTGGAAGGGACCTTGGAGGTCTTCTAGTCCAACCTATACCATTTCCGACCAATGGCTGTCCAGTCTCTTCTTAAAAACTTCCTGTGTTGGAGCATTCACAACTTCTGGAGGCAGGTTGTTCTGCTGGTTAATTGTTCTAACTGTCAGGAAGTTTCTCCTTAGTTCTAAGTTGCTTCTCTCCTTGATCAGTTTCCATCCATTGCTAAAGATAGAGGTAGAATCTGCTAAGGCCCCTACTTCTCCCCCCCCCCCACCGCCGCTCCACACTCCCCCCAAGCCTGTCTAGAAGCTTAGATTATCCTGTGGATAATCAACATATTTTTGTTCCACTGATTTACACTGTTTATTTTTCCCAAATTCCAACCACCCCATCTGTGGGAACTTTTAAGGCTTAAATGGGAGGGTGTGTGGTGGGAGGGTGGAGCAGGGTCCTGAATTCTCCACCCTTGCCCTAACCCTCTGTGCATTTTTCCAGGAAGAAGGAATCAAACTGACTTTCCAAAAGCACAAGCTGGTCCCAAATGGCACCGTTCGGGATCGGCCTGCTCTCACCCAGAAGAAAAGTAGCAAAAAAATGGTGGAGGTAAGCAGTTGCTAGCTGCAGAGAGTCTGTAGTTGGGATGGGCGGCCACAGGCATCCGATCCATCAGTCAGTGGAAGGGAGCATGTTGGTGCCACTGCGATGCAAAGGGAGGTGGAAGAGCTGTGTTAGAGGCCCTGACTTTTCAGCTTTTCTTTCTTTCTTTCTTTTTTTCTTCTTCTCGTTTTTCTTTCCATTTTTCCTTCTTTCCTTTCTCCCCTTCCTCTTCCTCTTCCTTTCTTTTGTTTGTTTCTTTCTTCCTTCCTCCCTCCATTTTCTCTCTCCTTTCTTCCTTCCTCCCCTCTCCTTCCTTCCTCCATTTTTTTCTCTTTTCTTTCTTCCTTTCTTCCTCCCTCCCTCCCTTTTCTCTCTCTCTCCTTTTTCTTTCTTCCTTCCTTCCTCCCCTCTCATTCTTTCCTCCCTCCATTTTCTCTTTTCTTTCTTTCTTCCTCCTTCCATTTTCTCTCTCCTTCCTTCTTTCCTCCTTCCCTCCATTGTCTCTCTTTTTTCTTTCTTCCTTCCTCCCTCCATTTTCTCTCTCTCTCCTTCCTTCCTTCCTTCCTTCCCTCTCCTTCCTTCCTCCCTCCATTTTCTTTCTTTTCTTTCTTCCTTCCTTCCTTTCTTCCTCCATTTTTTTCTCTTTCTTTCTTTCTTTCTTTCTTTCTTTCTTTCTTTCTCTCTCTCTCTCTCTCTCAGCTGGAACTGCAGTGTCTGGAAGCACTGAGGGGCCCAGATATTGACCTGGAGGCTCATATCCCAGTGGTGAACAAGACTGATGGGACGCTGCTGGTGGGCGACGCGGCTCCCCGCCGGGCTGATCTAGAAGTGTGGCTGCAGGCCCACCCTGAGTATGCGGTAGATCCTCGCTTCCTGGCTGTAAGTATTGGTTCAGCTCTAAAATCTTTGTTGCCCAAGGGGCGCTAATCTTCCGCCCTTCCCTTTGGGAATCCTTTCCTTTCCATCCCCAGACACGGTTTCTCCCTCCGCATCTCCCGCCAGATGTTGTAACCTGCTAAGATATTGTCCTGCTTTTCCTCTTAAGATGTCTTGCTATTTCATCTTCTAAGGCAGTGTTTCCCAAACTTGACAATTTTAAGGCATGAGGACTTCAACTCCCAGAATTCCACAGCCAGCGTTGCTGGCTGTGGAATTCTGGGAGTTGAAGTCCACATGCCTTAAAATTGTCAAGTTTGGGAAACACTGTTCTAAGGAACTCTCAGGGCCACCAGGCTGATGTAGGGTCTTCAAAGCCAGCACACCGATCTTCCCGAACCAGACGTTGCACAGGGGCCACAGTTTGCCTCTTCTGAATGAGACTTTAAATCAGTGGTTCTCAACCTTTTTAATGCCACGACCCCCAACCGGTCGTAAGTCGAGGACTACTCAGCCGGTCGTAAGTCGAGAGCTACTCAACTGGTGCAGCACCATTTGCAGAATGGGACTTTTTGGCAGGCTCAGCAGGGCAGAGACAGCCTGGACAATTCCTAATGGCTTTGGAAAGCCAATAGAATTAGACTCCATTCAAGAGAGTCTATTCTATTGGCTTTCAAAAGCCAATAGAATCAAAGGGAGTAGCACAGCTAAGGAAAAGGGGGGGGGGAAATGGCGACCCCCGTGAAATGGTCGTTCGACCCCAAATGGGGTCCCGACCCACAGGTTGAGAACCACTGCTTTAAATGCTTGCTTCTAATTGCAAGTGCTGGTCCTAGTCTCAAGTAACCAGCATTCTGCCTGAGAATATAACCCCCCAAATCTCCAGGAGAGATTAAAGCCCTCTTGAGTAGAAAGAGAGAGAGAGATGGGGTGGGTGGGTGTTTACAGGTAATCTTCAACTGACAACCGCAACTGTAAGCCCAAACTTTCTGCTGCTAAGCGAGACGGCGGTTCAGTGAGTTTTGCCCCCGTTTTACGACTTTTCTTGCCGCGTTTGTTAAGAGAATCGCTAAATTAGTAACACGGTTTCTAAGTGAATCGGGCTTCCCCCATTGACTTTGTTTGTCAGAAGGTCGCAAAAGGGGATCATATGACACACACACACTCACACCACCCCCGGGACACTGCAACTCTCATAAATACAGTTGCCAAACCTCTGAATTTTGGTCACGTGAGCATGGGGACGCTGCAAAGGTCGCAAGTGATAAGCGGTCATAAGTCCCTTTTTTTCACTGCTGTTGTCACTTAGAACAGTCACTGGACGGATGGTTGTAAGTCGAGAAGAAAGAAAGAAAGAATCCTCATCCATCTTTGCTCCCCTCCCTCCTTATTTTCTCCTGTGTGGGGGTGTTGGGCTCCCTCTCATCCATTCACACGCACCCTACTAAACCTCTGCACCCTACTAAACCTCTTCCTATCAAAACAGCCAGCAATGCTAGCTGAACACGTGTCCAGAGATCTCAAAATCAAAGCTAGGAGCAATCTGTTACTTTCCTTCTGTCTGATGTAGCCGAGAAGAAGCAGAGTGCCTGATGCAGTTAACTTGGGGTGGAGCCCAGTCGCTTCGGGGAGGAAGGGGCGTAGCGCAGCCGAAGGAGAGATGGAAGTTAAAAAAGCGCAAGTGGCAGTAGTAGGGAGGTAACAGGAAAGAACACAGAGAAAGAGAGTCATGAAATTGCAGTCTTAGTGATTCTGGGACTTTATCTGGTTTATATTTTTGGACTTCTGGGAAATGCATCCTTCTTCCTATTGCCAGAATTGACAAAAAAAGAAAGACATTGACGGCCTGTAGAAGAGAGGATGACTTTATAAAACGCACGCAATAAGGTACACACTGAGCAGCATCTAACTCAACCTGTTTCTCCCCCCTTTCTCTCCAGTACATGGAAGAACGCCGGAAGCACAGATGGCCCCGGTTCCCAAAACCTGTTCCGATAGAGCCAAGTTGTCTGGTAGGGCTGGAGAGGATGCAGGTAGCTGGTATTTCTGCCAACGGTAAAAAGGTGATTAAGATGGAAATATGACAACTTTCCTAAAAAATATTTGGTACAAAAGATCGGTAGTTGATAAAAAACGTTTTAAGCACACAGTCTCAGACATTGTTTAAGAATTCATGCTCACACCCAGAGGGAGGGAGGGAGGGAGGTATGGATAGATAGATAGATAGATAGATAGATAGATAGATAGATAGATAGATAGATAGATAGATAGATAGATAGATAGATAGATAGATAGATAGATAGATAGATAGATAGATAAAACAGACAGATGGATGAATAGATAGACAGATAAGACAGAAAAGTGAGGGATGGATGCAGGGAGGCAAGTGTATAGATATAAATAGATGATAGATAAGAGAGAGAGAGATAGACAGACAAATGGATGCAGGCAGACATATAGTTATAGATCAGCGGTTCTCAACCTGTGGGTCACGACCCCATTTGGGGTCGAACGACCATTTCACGGGGGTCGCCAAACAACGCAGTCCGCCATTTTTTTCCCCCTTTTCCTTAGCTGTGCTACTCCCTTTTATTCTTTTGGCTTTTGAAAGCCAATAGAATAGACTCTCTTGAATAAAGTCTAAATCCATTGGCTTTCAAAGGCCAATAGGAATTGTCCAGGCTGTCTCTGCCCTGATGAGCCCATCAAAAGTCCCATTCTGCAAACAGTGCTGCACCAGTTGAGTAGTCCTTGACTTACGACCGGTTGAGTAGTCCTCGACTTATGACCGGTTGGGGGTTGCGGCACTAAAAAGGTTGAGAACTACTGCTATAGATAGATGATAGGTAAGAGCAGTGCTTTTTTTCTTTTTTTTTAAAAAAAAAAGGTGCCGGAACTCACACACATCATACAACCCGCCTTGCGTACCCTACAAGGTTTCATTCAAAAAAGGTGCCAGAACTCCGTTCTGGACATTCTATGAGAAAAAAAAAACCTGGGTAAGAGAGAGAGAGATGATGGAGGGAGGGGATAGATAGAGAGAGGTAATCCTTGATTTATGACCACAGTTGGGACTAGATGTTCCATTGCTAAGTGATGCAGTTGTTACATGAAGCGTGCCTGATCCTACAACCGTTTTTTTTTTTTTGCCCCAGTCGTTAAGTGAGTCCAGCTTCCCTTGTTGACTTTGCATGTCAGAAGCTTGCTGGGCGGGTCGCAGATGCTGATCACAGGACCCTGCGAGGTCACAAATGCTTGTTGCTTACCAAACACTTGAATTTTGATCGGGCGCCGCTGCGGACACTGCGACTGTTGTAAGCGTAGGACCAGCCATCATGTTTTTTTCCAGGGCGAGATCCTGTGCTGCCAAATGCCCAGAGTGAGCCCATCAGTGGAGGGAGCCACTTAACCAGATCAGCCGCGGAGTATGAACATGGCTTAATTTAGTCTCTGCTTCTCTGCAGGGTTTTCTTCCAGATCCGACGATGAACCGTCTCCTTCCAGGAGCTGTGGGGGCCGCCGACAATGCACAGAAACGCGGTCGCCAGACCCCGATGGAGTTTTCCAACATGATGGCTCTGATGGGGGCCGGCCGGGTCCAACTAGGAGCCACGGGACCCCTCTCTCTGCACCACGCACACTTCCAAGCCCCCTCGGCCCATGGCTCTGCCTTGCAATACATGCCGTTCCCTGCCGCCGCGGCCACCGCCGCCACCTCCTCCGCCAGCCTTCTCCACCCGGGACTGGGCCACGCCGGCTACGCCGCCGCCCCTTTGCATCTGGGCCATCCTCAGCGCCTGGACGAGGACGAGGAGGAAGACGAGATGGACGACTTGTCTCAGGGCTACGCCAGCTCGGAACGGGACTTTTCCTTGCTCGACGACGACCCCATGATGCCAGCCAACTCCGACTCCAGCGAGGAAGGGGAGGAGGAGGGAGAAGACTGAACTGACGTCGCGAGGGCAGATGGACGGATTCTGACAGGGGCCAGCTCCTCCCCGGAGGCTAGCCATCCTCATGACATTGAATTGGAAAGGCCAGAGACTCGGGGGGCCCATTGGGGCCCCCTCGGCAGACAGGTTCCCTTCGTCCCACGTTGGCTGCTGGGAGGACAAAGCAGGGTCCTTCAAACCCAGCAAGGGTCGGATGGGGGAAATAACGACTTGCCTCCAAGGGTGCTCTTGCGGGGTTTATTTTTTGGAGAAAAAAAAAAGGGAAAAAAAATTAAAAGGTGGCTGTCGGCCGGGTGAGCAGCTCTGCCCTTCTTCCTGCAGCACTTGGAACTGTCACCCGAGAACTGTCTCCCTGGCTGCAATCCCGAGGCAGCAAAGACCACCCAGTCCTCGTCCTCCTCCTCCTCCCCATTAAGCTAAGACGACTTGGATCTAGGTAGCAGCTCCTTCCCTTTCCTTTGGGTCTCCCCACAGCCGGCTCCGTTCACCGCCGCCGCCACCACCACCACCATCGCCCCGGTTCACGTGCTGTAATATAAGTGCAAAAGGAGGGTAGGGAGGATGCCTTTCCCTTTCCCTCCATGCCCCTGTCTCCGTGTGGGTGGGGTTTATATTTATAAATATGTAATATGTCTTGTGTAATATGGCCGAGGCTGTGGGGAAGAAAGAATGAATTGTGAGGGGGGGGGTTTAAAAAATGTCACGAGGGCGGGGTGGTTTCGGGTGGCAGGGGGCCGAGGGAGGAGAGACAATAGAGCTTCCTGTAGCTGGATTCTCCTTTTTTTTTCTTTTGTTTTTTTTTTTTTAATAAAAGAAACAAAATGCACAAAACGTGAGCCCTCCCTCGCCCACCCTGTTCTTTTGCGGTACGGTTATAAGAGTTGCGTAAAATCAAACACAAATATTCTTAACAGCTGGGGATCCATTTGGGCTTCTTTCCCTCTAGGACAGCGGTTCTCAACCTGTGGGTCGGCACCCCATTTGGGGTTGAACGACCATTTCACGGGGGTCGCCAAACAACGTAGTCCGCCATTTTTTCCCCCCTTAGCTGTGCTACTCCCTTTTATTCTGTTGGCTTTTGAAAGCCAATAGAATAGACTCTCTTGACTAGAGTCTAATTCTATTGGCTTTCAAAAGCCAATAGGAATTGTCCAGACTGTCTCTGCCCTGCTGAGCCCGCCAAAAGTCCCATTCTGCAAACGGTGCTGCAAGTTGTCTGCAGTGAAGGCGAGCTGTCTGGAAGTTTCCACCCCTCCCTGCTGAGCAACTACTAAAAATGTAAGTAAAAGAGGGCCAGGGGTGAGAGGTGGGAGGCCGGCGGGCGCAGGGAGGGTTGCTGGCGTGCGTGGGGCCCGGCGGGTGCCTTACCTCCCTTGGGCTGGGCCAGCTGGTGGCCCAACCGGTGGTCGCCCTGCACCGTCGCTGCCCCTTGCCAGCTATGCCTCGGCCGGCGCAGGGGGCGGCACCATGCATGCGCGCGCTCCCGGGCAGGGAAAGTCCTCGACTTACAACCAGTTGGGTAGTCCTCGACTTACGACCGGTTGGGGTTCGCGGAGTTAAAAAGGTTGAGAACCACTGCTCTAAGACAGTGATGGCAAACCTTTTAGAGACTGAGTGCCCCAAAGACGGCCCTGCCTGCCCCCACTCCACTCTTGCTCCGCCTCGTCCCACCCACTCCGCTCCACCCACCCCATCCTGGCCCTAGCCGCCCACAGGGCCACTCACTGCCTCCACAGATTGCCATGGCGGCCCAGCAGTGTCATGGCGGCCATGCCCTCTGCCCACGCCCTATAGCATCATCTGCGCATGATGGGCACCTCAATACTTGGGAAGATTCTGGAAAAGATAATCAAACAAGAATCAGCGAACACCTAGAGGCAAACAAAGTCGTTACTAAAAGCCAACATGGGTTTGTCAAAAAACAGATCATGCTAGAGCTAGACAAATCTCATTGCATTCTTTGACCAAGTGACAAAATTAGTGGACCAGAGGAATGCTGTGAATATAATTTTCTTGGACTTCAGTAAGGCATTTGATAAAAGTTCGTATAGGGTTTCCTGCCCGAGCAGGGGGTTGGACTAGATGACCTCCAAGGTCCCTTCCAACTTTATTATATATTATTGAATGCAAGAGTGAAACCTTTCTAGCAGATGAACTTAAAACATTCCCTCCTACTAAAGGCTGTTCTTAAGAATACACAGAGAGAAAGGAGAAAAAAAACAAACACATTTCTCTTCACTCTTGTTTGTTGGCCAGACAAACAGAGTGAGGGTATTTCCTTTTGGTCGCTTAATTTAAGCAGAATTTTAAAATTCTTTTCTCTTTGGATTTGAAACAGTTAACAGTCACATTTACCTCACACACAAAACTTTGACAAACATATGTACACAAAGACAAGGAAAGGAGTACAGAAAAAGAAATCAGAAGCCTTAGTTTTACACATCCTGGTCATTCCCACCATAAATTTCAATTAACTCAAGTTAGGAGCTATCTGGAAGTTTCCACCCCTCCCTGCTGAGCAACTATTAAAAATGTAAGTAAAAGAGGGCCAGGGGTGGGAGGTGGGAGGCCGGCGGGTGCAGGGAGGGTTGCTGGCGCGCGTGGGGCCCGGCGGGTTCCTTACCTCCCTTGGGCTGGGCCAGCTGGTGGCCCAGCCGGTGGTCGCCCTGCACCGTCGCCCTGCACTTGCCAGCTACGCCTCAGCCGGTGCAGGGGGCAGCACCACGCATGTGCAGCGCTCCCGGGCAGGGAAAGTCCTCAACTTATGACTGGTTGGGTAGTCCTCGACTTACGACTGGTTGGGGGTCGCGGCATTAAAAAGGTTGAGAACCACTGCCTTAGAGCCAGTGAGGTGCAAAAAAAGGGAGGGGGAGGCAGATCAGAGGGCTTTTAACTTCTAACATTTCCCATGAAGAAAGTAGATAAGGAACCCAGAACTTAACATTATAGGTTATAATGTTGGGTGCTGTCACGCCTGTTTTATTTTACAACCACAGAGCTTAGCAACAGGGTTGCTGGCCCCCTATGAAATATAGGGTACAAATACGAAACATGTCAAACTTTTTCTGGTTTTGTTCATAATGAAATCAATAATTGTTAGCTATTCTAGCCAGCTAGATTAAGAGAGAGTCTGCCTCTTGGTACAAAAGAGTAATGCAGCTAGTTTTTTGTTTTTAACTTTAATTTTCTACTTTATCTCCTGTGATTTCATTCTTGCCCTAATTTTTTCCTTTTATTCCTCTTTTGTGCTTGTTTAATTATTATTAAATCTGTCTTCTATGACCTGCTTAGTTTCCAGAAATATTCTAAGTCAGCCAGCCATTGGAGTCTGGTATATTTTATCAAAACTTGAGATAGAAAGGAAAGGCATGACAGTTTTCTTCTTGCACACTTGTGGATTCTGAGATTGACCCAAGGCTGTTGTCATAGCCGTGGCTTATGGGATGGACTAAAATTTCTGTTGCGAAGAGCATTGTTGAATGAGTTTTGCTCCGTTTTATGGCCTTTCTTGCCACCAGTGTTGTAACTTCAAACAGTCACTAGATAAATGGATGTTAAAGTCACATATTGCCTGTACACTAAATCTAAACATCAATTAAAGTTACTATATTTTTATATTTTCCTTCCAGAACCTAGAGAGAGAATATAGACCAGTGGTGGCGAACCTATGGCACGGGTGCCAGAGGCGGCACTCAGAGCCCTCTCTGGGCATGTGTGCTGTCGCCCCAGTCCTAGGACTTCAGCTGGGTTTTATAAAACCTTTTTGCTTTAGGCCTCCACCACTGTGTGCAAAAAAAAAAAAGTTTGATCAATCAGTCAATTTCAACTTCTCGCAGGAAAAAAAAGATCTTGCAAAGTTGGAATTGATTGATTGAACTTTTTAGTCCCACCCAGTCTGCTGTTACCGCCGCAGCCACGCCCACCCAATGGGCCACACCCACCCAATGGGCCACAACCACCTGGCACCCGACGATACATAAGTGGGTTTTGGGTTGCAGTTTGGGCACTCAGTCTCTAAAAGGTTCGCCATCACTGATATAGGTAGTTATTGACTTACGACAGTTTATTTAGTGACTGTTCAAAGTTGCAACGAAAAAAGTGACTTATGACTGTTTTTTCACCCGACTATTATAGCATCTTCACGTAATCAAAATTCAGACGCTTGGCAACTGACTCATATTTATGACGGTCACAGTGTCCTTGATCCCCTTTTGCAACCTTCTGACAGGCAAGCTCAATGGGGGAGCCAGGTTCACTTAACAACCTTGTTGCTAACTTAACATCTGCGGTGACTCACTTAACAACTGTGGCAAGGTCGTAAAATGGCACACACAGACTGTGGAGGTGCAAACTTCTCCCCTCGGAACTTCTCAGCCCTTAAGCAGGAGCTACTGAAAAAAGCCAGGTCCTCTAGTCACAGTACTGGATCCCTGTCTGAATATGCTCTGCGCATGCGTCAAATAGTAATCGGGTCGCCCCTGGCCACGAACAGGCTTTGACAACTAGAGCTAAAAATTAGAGAATGCATGGATAAAACACTTCCGGGACCACTTTGTAGTATTGTCATATCAGAAAATGTAATTTTAATATATTATTATTTTTATTTGTTTATTTTGGGAAGGGGGTGGCGGACGGGGAGCAAGGAGTCATAGAATTGCTTTTAGATCTATCTGCCCATAGATTTTATGTCCAAATGGAAAGATGATCCTTCACCTTTAAAGATAGGTTAATGGAGGGTGAGAATAAAATTGGCTTACGGCAACTGTGCAAGTGTAGCACAATACGGGAAGATAAATAGAAAATAAAAGCGCTGCGTTGCCCTGACTTTTCAGCTGTGAATGCAGTTAAAAAAAAAAATTCTGACCTATCCAAAAGTTGTAGACCATGTGTTAGTATTATTATCTCTATGTAGAGGAAGCGAGGGCTCTGCCCTATGCGCATGCGTGGTTTTCTCCCCGCGAATGTTAGGTCTGAGATCACGTGCCCGCTTGGCAATAGCGAAGGGGAGCCGCCTACAGAACAGCCGGAGGCGGGCCAAACGAAAACGGAAAGAGGTCACGTGACCGGCAAAACCTTCGCGCCACTCGCGGTCACGCGGTCGGCGCGCGCGAGACTGAACCCGATAAAGGGAGCCCGTTGCAAGCCCAACAGCATGCGCATGCGCGCTCCTCTCATTTCGTCCCACTGACGGGAGAAAAAAGCGCGGGAGACTAAAACTGATCGATATTACTTTTTAGTTATCTATATCT